CTTGACTCTCACACATCTGAGCCGCTTTCTGTTCCCCCACTGCAGGAAAAACTCTGGTTCTGAAGCTCTCTGATTATTCCTCTCTTCCTCCGTCTCCATACCTGCAAAAATAAATTCAGAAATTAAATATATAAAAATAAAAATAAAAACTTGCATCTTCCCAAATGAAACCCAGAAGTGAAAAATCAAAATTGTAACAGTTGAAGGAAGCTTACGATGAGATGTTTCCATGTAAATTACAGAACTTTGAGGATTTTCCAGCAAATTTCACCAAGACGATGAAAGCCCAGATGGAGATGGAGATGGAGATTCTTCTTCTGTAAATCTCGCTTCTCCGCCTCCTCCGTCTTTGCTGTTGTTCTGGTGTTGCTCTCTGTTTTTCTCCTCTCAAGTTTTTGTGAATTATTTCTTCTTGTTCTTCTTGTTCTTCCTTTCCTGTCTGTTGTTTCTCTGTCCTCCTCTTTCTCTCTCTTGCATTTCTCGTTTTATCCTTTGCCTCGGCCGGACAATCAAAACAACTGAAGATTACTTCAACCGTTAGATTCAACATCAACGGTTCGATGCATAAGGATTTTGGGTCCCTGATTTTGGAGCCCAAAATGAAATTGGATTTGCACATTTGCTTATGGGTTTAGCATGAGAGTCGAGTCGAACCCAACTGAAAATGCACCGATGTCCCCGTCCGCCCTTCAAGGGAGTAGATGGCCACTCTGGTGACAATGAGTGGGCTTTTACTAATTGCTCGACCTTCTCCTAGTCACAATTCATCTTCAAATAATATTTCTGCACTCTTTTTATTTTTCTACACGCTAATGTTTACAACAGGCCATTGATTTTTGTTTGCTTTATTTGACCCTGAAAACTGAAGGTTTTAGGTTCGAAATCCGTTGTTGGTTTGAAAGTCAGATTTGTAGTCAGAAAGAGGTTGAAATACCTCTGTGAGTCTTCCCGACCTTCGAAAATAGTGGATAACCGTAGCTTGTCACCAGATGTCCCTCTTTAAAAATAAAAAAAAATTGTTAGAAACATAAGTATGCATGGAGATAAGAATAGTGTGTCAAAATTATTTTCCTTATCGAACTCTATAAATTCAGTTCGTGACCTAAGAGTTTGTTACTTGAAAAGTAGTATGATGTGAATTAGTTTTTGACCATTTTTTCAACATTAAGAGTAGTTCCAGCGTAGTCCATTGTCCTTAGGGCAATCCACTATACTATCCATCTAGTGAACAGTAACTGACCTTAATAAACAGTAATCGCCTTTTGCATCTCCACCCCTGCACTCAATAGCCCTGGCAATTGGTAATAAAATATTAATATTTTTTTATTTACAAAATAATTTTATTTGTAATTTCGGATAAGATTTTTAATCGTTCTCGTTACGCCACATGTCATTATCCAAAAAGACAATAGCAATAAAATATTAGTATTTTTTTTATTTATAAATTAATTCAAAATAATTTTATTCGTGATTTCGAATTTTTAATCGTTCTTGTTGCGCCACGTGTCATTATCTGAAAAGATAATTATTGGTGATGGATTTCCGATAAGATTTTTAATCGTTCGTTGCGCCACGTGTCATTATCCGAAAAGACAATTATTGGTGATGGATTTCCGATAAGATTTTGAACCAATCACGTCGCGCCATATGTCACAATCTGTTTACAATCTTTGAGGATAGATTTCCACTAGATTTTTAACGAATGACAGCATGCCACGTGGCATTATCTACAACCTAATCCTTTCTGAATCCTCCATATAATCCACCATCCATCCTCATAAATCTCATACCAATTTTCTCAAGATCTCTATCATTATTCATAGTTTCTACTTCCTTATTCACCTAAATCTCAATCATTATTCATAGTTTTTGCTTCCTTCATTACAATGTATTTTTCTTCCTCAAGGATGATGTGGAAAATCGATCAGCAAGAGGAAGAATTGTTTAACCAATCAGAAGGAATGTTCAAATGCCAGGCGACCCAAAATGAGAGGGAAGAGGATGAGGAGCGTAGACGGATAGACAACGAATCAAGAATGGCAAGAGCTTCACATTCCCGTCGAGTCATCCAAGCTGTGGCTCAGATCTGCAGGCCTAGCCGTGCTGTAAACATTGATAGAAGCAGGCAACGACGAGGTCAGGATTTCTTGGATGATTATTTTGTCTGTAACAGTGCATTCCTTGATATGTACTTTAGACGTCGTTTTAGAATGGAACGTCATTTGTTCAACAAAATCATGGGCGCTGTTTGCAACCATGATTCTTACTTTGTGCAAAAGCCGGAGGCTTTTGGTGCTATGAGTCTACTGTCTGAGCAAAAAATTACTGCTGCATTGCGTATGCTTGCATATAGGTTCGTGAATGGATAATCATCACCTAACCAATTTATGGTGATAGGATGATATTCTCTTGTCGTGCTAGGACCATCTCATCTTGCTCTCGCTCCTCTTGATCTCGCTTCTCTTGCACGCCTCCTTTGCACCACGTCCGCTTTCTCCGACTTCCAAAAATATTTAGAGTTGGGAAACTTCCCTTCTAAAGGCTCATTCGTAATGTCACAATCTCGTTGAGCCATTCTTTCTTCTCTAACATGTTCCCTTTCTTGCCAAAGTAGTTCTCTTTCTCTCTCATTAGCTTGAAATTCTTTCTCAATAGCTGCAGCTTTTGCATCCTCTCTTGCCATCAGCCTCAAATTTACCTTGGCGGGCAAGTTCTTCCATACACTTTGCATAATCATTCTTGGAAGCATTACCTTTTCTCTTTGAAGCCTTCTTACCTTGTTAAGGTCTAATTGGAAAACGGGTCGACCCCGACGCTTGTTCAACGGGGGCGGGGGGGGCCCCGTTTCGGGCACTTCTTCTGCATCATCTTCATCATCATCATACGAGGCATGATCGGGCATAGAGTGTAAAGGGGTGCTGTTAAAGGCCACTTCTAGACCGATAGGCACAACTTTGAATTTAGGACAATCTTTGACAATATTCCAACACTCCCACCGGTTGAATGATTTGTTTTTGTTTGTGGTGTTGACATTATACCAAGCTTGTGCTTGAAGCTCCTACACAATGCGGGAGAAGAAATAATTATAATCAAAGTAGGTAATGTAAATTTGGGTATGGTACAAACAAATAAAAATTATATCGTTACCTGATCCACTAAACTTTCCCCACTTCGAAGATTAGCACTAGCTTGTGCCAGTGCGTCTCTCTACGTACTAAACGATTTGCTCAATAGTCTCCAACGACTGGACAAAGATTCTTTGGTTCTTTTCCTAGCAATTTTCTCAACATAATTGGTATGAATAAGACCCCACATTTCTCTCAACTGCATCTCATTACCCGAAATCGGATCATGAGTAACTTCAACCCAACTAGTACACAATGTAACATCTTCAATAGGCGTCCAATTCGTACCTACATCATTAGCCATTTTCTTGGAAAAAAATTGGATTGAAACTTTGAGAGAAAGATAGGTATTTAAGAAAGTATGAAATTGGATTGAAACTTGACAATATATGAAATTAGATTTATAGAAAAGTAAATATATAAAAGTATGAAATTGAATTCAAACTTGACAATATATGTTGAATTCATAGAAAAGTAAATATATAAAACTATGAAATTGGATTGAAACTAGACAATATATGAAATTGGATTGAAACTTTGAGAAGATATGAAATTGTGGTGTAAGGTAGAAGATAATGAGAAGGTATTTATATAAAAGTAAAATCAAATTTTTTTTCAATTTTTCAATTTTTTTTTTTGGATTTTTAATAATTTTTTACATTTTTTTTTATTCACCTAATTAATCTATACCGTTGGATTTAAACCAATTTGAATTCTAACACTCTAGATTGTGCCACGTGGCACAACGGTAACATTTCTGAATTTTTTAACTGTTTTTTCTTCTTCTTTTTTAATTTTTAAAGTCTAAAGGCGTGGACAGTTGATCTCAGATCTAACGGCTGGTATTAAATGAAGTTTTTTTATTTTTTTTACCGTTGGAAATCCAACGGTCCAAAATATATATTCGTTGTAATCTAATGGCCGTGGGGAAGCCACGTGGCTCCCCAACGGTAAGATTTTTGAGTGCGCCGTGGGCCCCAATGTCTGATTTTATGTCGGATTACGCACACCCACGCTCGCTTGAAGTCCACGCGCCTGATAGAAAAAATAAAAAAAACGCAGCTGACGTCTCCCTGACGTCAGCCCACATCAGATGGCCATCGGGCGCTCGGCCCATCACGAATCCACGGCCCGCTTGCTCGGGCAATAGCCCATTGTTCCTCAGCCCGTCCCTCCAGCAACTCCTCCTGCTAGAGCTGCTCTAATGTTTACAACAGGCCATTGATTTTTGTTTGCTTTATTCGACCTTGAAAACTGAAGGTCTTAGGTTCAAAACCCGTTGTTGGTGTGAAAGTCAGATTTGTAGTCAGAGGGAGGCTGAAATGCCTCTGTGAGTTTTCCCGACCTCTGGAAGGGGTGGATAATCGTGGCTTGCCACCAGTTGTCTCCCTTTCTAAAAAAAAAAAAAGTTAGAAACATAAGTATGCATAGAGATAAGAATAGTGTGTGAAAATTATTTTCCTTATCGAACTCTATAAATTCAATTCATGACCTAAGAGTTTGTTGCTTGAAAAGTAGTATGATGTGAATTAGTTTTTGACCATTTTTTCAACATTAACTTATGTTATATCTAATGATGAGAGTGATGATGATCACCGTCATATACGGTATGTCTATGTTTATTGAAAGAAAGAATCCATCAATAATGTTTGAGGAAGTGAACAAATTTAGGTATTTTACTTCCATGTTATGTAATATTAAATATAACGAGTATTGGATAATCTGAATTCACAGAATCACAATAAAAATATTAATTCAAACTAATTTAGATCTCTCATGCTCATAGCACTTCCGGAAGAATTTTCCCAAGTTTTGTGTGGTGATTTAAGTTTTGTCGATGAACCACGCATTTGAAGATGCAAGTTGTTTCATATGACTATGTCTTTACCTAAATTTCAAGATGCGTTCTCTCTCCATCTCTCTCTATCTCTCTCTCTGATTTTTGTTACTCTCTAGAAGATGATTTTGGTGCCTCCAAGTGGCAGCCTGTCGTGCCTTGACGACCTTTTTTTGGTCTAGTGCTTGACTTGGTGCCCTACAGGATCTTAAATGGTAAAACTCTCTTCTTATGTGTTATGTCCTCGAAGTCCTCATTTTATTTTCTTTAGTTTCTAGTTTGTTTGTAAATAGGTAACATTTTTTTAGGAGGTAAATAGGCGACATTTGGTGAAGAAGAAATGAGCAACATTGTAAAGTATTTAAGAAAAAATGATCAACAAATATTGACATATTAGCGAGAGTTTATAGTTAAAATAGTTAAGAATATTTATTCTTGTACATAAAAGTTTGCTCAGCTTAGTATTGTGTGTAAGAGTTTTTTTTGTTTTTTTTTTTGGGTACAATTAGAGATAATGTAGGAGGGATGATTTGAATATAAAAACTCAAGTATCATGATTAACACTCTAAAACACTTAAACTACATACCCAATTTATTAACGTGCATAAGATGAAGAATCATAATCTTTTAGTTGTGAAATTCAGAAAAGGGTATAAATGGAAAAGTAAATAAGTCTCTTGTGACACATATTTTCCCTACATTAAACTTAAAATATGTGTCTCATAGGATAACAAACAGAAAAGGACGTAGAGAAGCTCCTAAACAACCAATTTGTTCATAGAAAACTCAGAAACCCCTAAAATATATAAGTCCCGCTCCCACAACCAAACAAGGAGATGCAGACGAGCTCCCCGCAACCATTCAGAGCTAGCTAATACAAGAGTGCCTCCCCTTCTTCCATTTCCTTAAATCAAACCCTAGCTTAAATCCAACACTAGCTTTCTCTCTCCTTAATTAATTTGCATGCAAAGTAATTTCAATGGAGTTTCAGTTCCAACAGCCGAAGCAAGTTTCTTTTGCAGCTGCATGCATTCCAAAAAGCAGCAGCAAAGTAGGGAAGTGGAAGGGAAGAAATAATAATCGTAGAAGCAACAACAAAGCAAGCAAGTTTGTTGGCGTGAGACAGAGGCCTTCGGGAAGATGGGTTGCCGAGATCAAAGACACTACTCAAAAAATAAGGATGTGGCTCGGAACCTTTGAGACCGCGGAGGAGGCTGCCCGTTCTTATGATGAAGCTGCCTGCCTTCTTCGCGGTTCAAACGCTCGAACCAACTTCATCACCCACGTATCTTTGGACTCCCCTCTCGCTTCTCGCATTCGGAATTTACTCAACACGAAAAAAGGAGGAGGAGGAGCCACTAAACAACTAGCACTACTACATCACCAAAGCAGTAGTACTAGCACTACTACTAGTGCTAGTTCTGATCATGATCATCTGCCGCCTCCGTCTAAACAACTAGTACGGAAAAGTAGTACTTGTACTTCAACTAGCAGCGGCAGCGACACAACTTCCCTTTCGAGCGAGGTGTTTCAAGATAATTCTCTACTGTTTGACAATGTCTACAAACCGGATTTGAGAAACTGCAATGAGGACTTTGAGTTGAGTTCTTCCTCCAATACTTCTCAATCCGACCTTCCTTCATGGGTGTCATATCAAACGGGGGTTGACTGCTTCTCGTTTGCTCAACAAGCGTTTGAGTTTCCGAAACATCAGGCGGCTGCTGCTTTGTCCTCTGCGGAGAGTAATACGACTACTACTAGTACTATTAGTACGGCAGGTGAGGCTGATTCGGGGCTGACGGATTTCGAAAGGTTGAAAGTGGAGAGACAGATATCGGCTTCGCTTTATGCAATGAATGGGATGCAAGAGTATATGGAAACAGTTCATGATCCTAACGAGGCGCTCTGGGATCTTCCGCCGTTGTGTTCTTTGTTCTGCTAATTAATTAGGATCAGTTGAAGTGAAGGTTTTGTTGTTGGTGGCCATGCACGGAAGTTGGATCTCCCTCTCTTCAATTATTCTTGCAATTGTCAACTGAGAAACTGTTAGAGATTAAGATGATCAGAAATTTATTTGTATTTCCTAGCTCCCTCAACAAATGTAATTGATATCTTGTTTGTTATAAAGTAAGCATCCCTAATTTCTCTACAGCTCAAAACAAGAAACTCCGAGGAGATGTACGTTACGACGAAATTGTGGGCAATTTCACCTTCATCCATGCGGAGTAATTGTGGTAGAATTAAAGGTTACCGAAATTGTGGTCCAAACCAGTTCAGCAAAGCGAACCTCAAAATGAACAGTTTAAATCATGACATCATATTATGGAGACAACCTACACAGAGTTGTCGAATTAACTTACTAACCGATTAACACTTACAACCATTCGTTAACATGAGGTCTAAGATACAGGTCTCGAGTTTTGGGCAGATCTCAATTGTTTCAAAGACAACATTATTTCATTCCAAGTAATGAAAAGTAGATTACTTATACACGACAAACGTACTTCCAAAACCATCACAAGGGCAGAACCAAAACACAACGTGCATGTCTTTCGAAAGAAAAATGCAAAGCTAGATAAGAAACAAAATAATGGAGAGGTCTAGCAGGATAGACAGATAGCTACTGAAGGGAATCCCAACGTATTATGGTTTAGTAATCTTCCCCTTCCTCTTCATCATCAGCGCCTTCCGCCCCAACTTCCTCATAGTCTTTTTCAAGAGCAGCAAGATCCTCACGGGCTTCTGAGAATTCACCTTCCTCCATCCCTTCACCTACATACCAATGCACAAATGCCCGCTTGGAATACATAAGGTCAAATTTATGGTCAATTCGGGAGAAGACCTCAGCTACTGCAGTGTTGTTGCTTATCATACAAACTGCTCGTTGCACCTTGGCAAGATCACCACCTGGTACAACTGTCGGGGGCTGGTAGTTAATACCGCATTTGAAACCAGTTGGGCACCTGAAAGTATCCATATAGAGCAACCATTCAGATAAACACAAGGGACAACAAAAAAATAGTTTATGAAGTCAAATAATCTGCAACGAACACCCCAGCATCCTTCCTTTTAAGCCGGCTATTTTGAATCCAGTTTGTCTACAAACAAGGGTTTCCTACCATTAATATCACTACCAGTGCATACGAAATTAATGTATACACAATCACAATGAGAGTATGATATCAAAAACATGTTTTAACCCACAAACGTGTTAGAGATATACTAAGAAGATGTCAGCATTAATACAGCCTAAGCTTAACATGTATGACCATAAATAAACGTCATTGCCATTGCTTGAACTACAAGGACTGAAATACTGAAATCAATAATAAAGTAACGTCCATCTCATCAATTTCTGTGCGAATACTATTTAGGCTTATATTTTAACGAAATTAGATGCATGGAATGTCTACTCACCAGTCCACAAACTGAACTGTCCGCTTTGTCTTAATGGTAGCTACAGCAGCATTTACATCCTTCGGTACAACGTCACCACGGTACATCAAGCAGCATGCCATGTACTTCCCATGCCTTGGATCACACTTGGCCATCATACTTGAGGGCTCAAATACAGAACTTGTGATCTCAGGAACTGACAGTTGCTCATGGTAGGCCTTTGCAGCAGAGATTACAGGGGCATAAGATGAAAGCATAAAGTGGATACGAGGATATGGAACCAGATTAGTTTGAAACTCCGTAATGTCCACATTAATGGCACCGTCAAACCTCAATGAAGTTGTCAAAGAAGATATTGTTTGGGATATTAAACGATTCAAGTTGGTGTAGGTTGGCCTTTCAATGTCTAAAGATCTCCTACAGATATCATAAATGGCTTCATTGTCCAGAAGCACAGCCACGTCTGTATGTTCAAGGAGAGAATGTGTGGAGAGCACGCTATTATAAGGTTCTACCACAGCAGTGGAGACCTGCACATTTTAAGATTAGTTTCTGTAGACAGTCGCACATGAATGGTTCAAGAAAATTAAGAGAGCTATTATGTGGAAGCAGATGAAAAGGAGAACCTTCAAAAGATTTTATTCTCAAACAGCAATATTTCCTAAGTTTCCGCACACCACTATTGTTGTCTCTCCAGATGTAATATCTAGTTTCGGACTTGGCGTGCATATTTTTACATTAAGAACTGAAAAACCATTAAGTAGAATCAGATGGAAAAAAATATTAAAAAATGTGAACATTAACCGAATGCAAGCCACTAAAAATTTTGTATTCTCAAAGAAGTCATCTTGTCTAGGTTCTGAGAATCTTTCTGACCATCATTTCTGATGCCCTTCTGGTAAGAATAAACATGTCTCTTATAATTTTAGACTAGCTTTTTTATCAGATTTACTCCTGTGCTTCTTATATTAGTTTTGCTTGTTGAGGTAGCAGAACTAATTTGTTGCAGTAAACCATTGAAACAGGTACAGCATACAAAATTTAGAGAAGAAAGACGAGTTAGACAAGTGTTCACAAATACTAGTTTTAGCAGTTAAGATCTATCCAATTACCATATCCTGAACTTTTCTAAGTAATGTACCTGAGGAGAAGGATAAATCGTGAAACCGAGCTTTGACTTCTTTCCATAATCAAGAGACAATCGTTCGAGAAGTAAGGAACCCAAACCAGAACCAGTGCCACCACCAACAGCGTTAAATACCAAAAACCCTTGCAGGCCTGTGCAATTATCAGCTAATTTTCTTACCCTGTCAAGGCATAGGTCCACAATGTCCTTCCCCACTGTAGCATTCAGAAAACCAGTTATAACTAAAGTAATAGATGGAAATGCCAGTTGGACAGTGCAATATACATAATTATACCTGTGTAGTGTCCTCGGGCAAAATTGTTCGCAGCATCTTCTTTGCCAGAAATAAGTTGCTCGGGATGAAAAAGTTGTCTGTAAGTCCCAGTCCTGACTTCATCAATAACCGTCGGTTCAAGATCAACAAATATGGCTCTGGGCACATGATTTCCAGAACCAGTTTCGCTGAAGAAGGTGTTAAAAGAATCGGTTGCAGCGCCGACAGAGGTGTCACTGCATTCACACAAATACAATTAAAAGTTAATAATCCATCCTTATACACAGGTACAAGGGATTATAAGAACTTTGCGGTAACTAAGTAACTACCCAATGAACTAGTCCACATATCAAAGAAGAAATACAACAAAACAAAATGAAAAGGAGTTGTTCTAAACATCAAAACTATATTCCTATTCACAACCCCGCCAAATACCAGTTATGGATATACGTGGCACAGGAACCCACAAAAGGGAGATGTGAACGCACAGACAAGTTCATACAAGTGCATTGGAAAGAATGAAAAATAACTTGCATAACCAAGCTATGAGGAGGTAAAATGTGTTACATACCTACTACCTTGGATTTTTTTGGGTACATAAATTCTAGAAATTTTTGCCAATTCAAATATTCTGATTCCCCAGTAGGGAATTGCATAGGAAAGGTATCAATAAAATCAGATAGTTCTACATTAGCGACAGACGAGGGCGTCTGAGTTTCAATTAAGAAAGGAAAAGAGTAAATATGAAATCAGCACATTGCATATGTTCATATAACAGATTGAATGACAAGACAGTTTGCATCAAGCCACCGCGATTGCTAGTTTGATCTCACCAGAGAAGAGGCAAAAATATTAGCACAAAGAGGCAAAACATGACTGAAATTCCAAGAAAGACAAAATCCAACATTCCAAATCTAGACAGGAAGCTAAATTACAAGGCGAATTTTTTTTTCCTCATCGATTAACACCAGAATACAATCAAGGTTCCTCTAAATTGAAAACGCAACGATAATACGGATCAAAGGAGGTAAAAAGAATTGATCTCAATCACAAATTATGGTGAATTACGAAACTCTCCGCATTTTAGTTTTCATGAATGAAGTAGCAAGAAACCATGTTGCATTTAAGTTAATCCAATTCTGATCTGCTAGATTTGTTGAACATAAACATGACCCAATTCCCAATTTCATCAACAATATCCCAAACCCAATTTCCATATTGAATTGAATATCAAAACCCAAAAACTAATACTTCAATAAAAAAGAGTGGTTTTTCACAGGAATGGATTCAAATTAAAAAAAAAAAAAATCATAGAAACGCAGGGGGTGTGTGTTTGTGAGAGAGAGAGAGAGAGAGAGAGATGTACATACCTGGGCATCATACCATCAGGCTGAATGCCATGTTCAAGGCAGTAGAGCTCCCAGCACGCATTCCCAACTTGGATCCCTGCCTGTCCGATGTGTAAGCTTATTATCTCCCTCATCTTTCTCTCTCACTCTCCAATTACAAGCACAGAGAAACAACACAGGAAAGAAATACGGGAAGAAGAAGAAACAATACAGAGGAACCACTGAAATGATTATTTATTTTTAGTTGTTGAATAAATTATTGGTTGTTTGGTTGTTTTTTGGTAAAAAGTTATAATCAATTATTAGCTATTTTTGGTAAAGTAAATAATTAGTGGTTCTAGATCTGCACCCACCCCTTCACTTATATGTAACAAATCAAAATTCAAAAACTATTTTCTAATTTAAACTTTGTATTATTTCTATGATTTTTGTTTGATACGATCTATTTAGCATTTACAGTAAAAATTTTGAAGAATAAATTAATATTAAGTTCATCACTCATAAGATTGGAATATTCTACATTATATATTATAAAATAATAAAATTGAACTTAGAGATTCTCACTTAATCGGCTAAGCCCAGTCTTGTGCTAGATGGATACCATAGATGTGACTCATGACCGCATCATGTGCTATGAAAAGGTGTAGGGAAAAGAAGGTTCATGCACCAACAAATTATTAGTGTAATAGTACTTGAAAAGGATCTAGCGAGGACTTTTCTTAAGAATCCTAGAAATTGAGTAATTGTGTTTATTTATCGTATATCGTGCAATCAGTTTTTAATAAGTATTATTTATATTTAAAATTTAAATTAGAAAAACTAATGAAAAAGTTCAAAAAAAACTTTAGTTTTAATGAAAAATTACAAATAAAAATGTAGTGAATAATAGCAGAGAAAGGTAAAAATATGGTTTTTCGTTAAAAGTGAACAGTACCAGAAGTGCTTCGTTAAAACTCCATTTAAAATTTTAAATTTTAAATAATTTCTGACCACACGATATACAACGAACAGATACGATTATAAGATCATTAGGATTCCTAGGAAAATGATTCGACGAGGATCCTTTTCCACTAATTTTTGGGATGATCCACCTTCTTATTATCCAGGAAATAATAAAAATTTGAATGGTTAAAATTGCATATAATGTGGAAGGGTAATGTTAGAGAGGTTAGAATTTTAAATTAAATTTACAAATTAAATGATATATTATCAATCAAATATAAACATGTTAATTAATGTTTAACTAATAATTCAATTGCAAGTGACATTTTACCACAGTGATAGAAATATGTTGAGCTATTACATGATGAAGTGTGTTTAAATTCCGTATGTGACTAATCTAGCAAAATATATCATTTGCAAAAAAAACTAATAATTCAATCATTTAGTTTTATCACATAGATAGCAGCATGGGAGCTGAAAAGCCTGAAAAAAAATAAAATAAAATAAAAAAGATATGAGAGATTGAAAAATTGAATAGCGGCATAAGGGGCAGCGGAAGCAGGGGAGGAAATCAAATGGCTAGTGTGAAAGCAGTGGCTCTTGTCACCGGAGATTCCAACGTCCGAGGCTCCCTTCATTTCCTTCAGGCATCCAACGGTCTCTCTCTTATCTCTCTCTTTCTCTTTTTTCCTACTGTCTCACCGGAAATCAACTGAATGATGAACAGGAGGGCCTACACACATACAGGGGAGGATTAGTGGCCTCTCTCCTGGCCTTCATGGTTTCCATATCCATGCTCTTGGTGATACCTCCAATGGTTGCAATTCCACTGGTATCTCTATCTCCCTCTGTTAATTTCAGCTTAAATTCTTCTATTAATGTAATTTTTCATTGCATCTAGGACTTGGTTCTTGCTTCTTTAATGGGTTTTACTTGATTCCTACTCTTTGTTTTCGTTGGTGGGTGGTTTCTGGTTTGGACTTTTCAAATTTTTAATCTTTGATGTTTAAGGACCTCATTTTAATCCACTGAAGAAGGAGCATGGAGCTCCTTCAGATAAGGAGCGTCACGCCGGCGATTTGGGTAACATTGTTGCCGGCCCAGATGGTATGAACAACTACGAAAAAGTATTGCTTTTCTTTTCTGTGTGTAATAAATTCAGCGTTCTACTAAAGTTGCGCTCGCACTCACTCTGCAGGAGTTGCTGAGGTTTCTCTCCAGGACTGGCAGGTAACAATTCTTTCCCTTTTATAAAAGTCGAAATGTGAATATGAAGAACTATGTAGGCCTAGATACTCTTTAACTTTATTCTATGGATAAAGGATTGAATTGGTAGAAGAAGCGCATGTATGTGCATGTCATAGGCTTATCGGCAGCTAAAGATTATTCATAATTCACATGTCCTTGGATTGCTGTTCATATTCTAATTTATAATATCTTGATATCAATCTTAGATTCCACTAAGCGGACCTAATTCGATTCTTGGGCGAGCAGTTGTAGTGCACGCTGATCCTGATGATCTTGGTAAAGGTGAGTGTGTCAAATCTGGTTGGCAAATTGTTTGTTTATCACGTTTAGGCTACTACAACCTCTTTGTGAAGTTTGGTATCTTCTTTGATGATTCGTCACAAAAGCATTAAGTTTACCTATTCCATGATTATTTCGCTCAAAAGGGATTGGACATGGTACACAATATGATTTTGAGGCATCTAGCCCTTGATTATAAATTTCTTGTCACTTCTTGCTTCTAATGGACGATCACTTTGTTTTTTGTTTTTAAGGGAAGAGGTGAAGTTTTAATTCATCAGAGAAACTGTGCATATTACTTGATCACTCAAGTTTTTGAATCTGAATTATCAGTATCAATTGGCACTTGACCAGCCACTGATTTTACTACACTTTCTAAGTGCAAAACTGCAATGAATTTCTTTTCATGGAATTAAAATCTTATGAGACTTTATAAGGTTTTTCAAAATTATTAATTTTGAAGTCGTTAACCCTATAAGGCTATTGGAGATACTGTAATAAACATGAATGTGCTTTATGATTTTGCAAAGCATCTTCTTGAGCTTATATCATGGAGACGACAATCTCACGATAATTAAGACTCAATTATGGTTATTCTTTTGCTGTGAAATTTTTCTTTCACTTTTGTAAGGTTTGTGCCAATCACTGAACACTCCAAGAAGATCTCTTCCACCTTTTGTTATTCAAATTAGAAATTGTTGTCTCAGTAGCCCTTCATACTTGAGAAATAATTTTTCTTGCATACCTTTTGGGACTTAATTGTGACCTTAAGTTTTAACAGAAAAACTGGCGACTTTACCTTTTGGCATCTTCCGTTATTTCATAATTCCGTTTTTAGTGCAAATGACAGTGCTGTGGGTTGATCTCTGATTCATCTCCGCACAAGAGTGATATCATCGATGTTTTAACCCAATGTCTATATATCCCTGATTGAACAGGTGGACATGAACTTAGCAAGACTACTGGGAACGCAGGAGCAAGAGTTGGATGTGGTATGTATTCACTTCTTTAGCCATTTGCTGTTGCTCACAAATTGTTTATATCAAATTCAGCAGTAGGGTCCGGCAAACTGTTTTTCGTCATTCCTCTATTTTCGCTCTTTTTTCTCCCCTTCCCCCTTTTCGTCTGCAACACCACTTCCTAATATTGGTAATATTGATTTTCGACAGGTATCATTGGCCTTAAGTCATCTGTTTGAAAAGAAGAATTGCTTACAGAACAGAAAGCAAACAACCTAATAAATGTGGTTTAGTCCTTTCTTTTTCCTCCTTTGTGTTCAGCGTTCCTTGTGCATGTTATGATAATATTCTAGGGGTATATGAGATGAAACTTTGGGGACAAGAAGTATAATTTAGGGGTCTTTGGTAACCATTTCGTTCTTAGTTTTTAGTTCCAATCATCCTCCGATAAAGTACTAGATGCCTAGTTAATTTGGTTTTTGAATATTACAAACAAGCATCTGGATGAACAATGCCAGAAGTGTTTACATTTACATTGATACAATGTGATTGAACCATTTTGTTCCGGTAAGTCAAAGTCACTTTCAAGTCTTAACCCACTGCATGGATTTGATGGGCTACAGTCAAATTTTATTGCAACTGCTGTTGCTGATGTTCCGGTACAATACGTCGCTTACTCTCACACCTGATCCCTGTAATACATTGCATCAGGATAAAAAGTGATGTTTTTATGCCAGCGATATTCTAATTAATCTAACCTTAAAACCGTTGAAGAGATTCAAGGGAATCAAACTTTGATGCACAAAACCTATTTGGCTACACTCATGATGTGCGATGGACGTTTATTACCTGAACAGGGCAGTCGATGTTGCCTTGCCTGGGCAGTAATTTTGGTCAATTAGAATGGGGTTTTTGACATTAAGCATTACAGCATCAAGGAACTGGATCCTTTGAATATGCTAGGTCTAGCCCAAGACTTAATCCTCAAGCCATTTGTGGTACCCTTCAAAACTGCTTTCTTAATCGACACGTTTTGAACTCCTTCCTCTTCAAAGTCTTTGGCCGAACTCCCTATACAGCAAAGGATCACCACATGCATGCATGCATAAGTCAACACCAATTTATTAACTACGTACTAAGGGGTTTAATTATCGCATATTGCAATACAATAATGATGGATCTGGTATCGACACATTTGGAATTATCAATACATTTGGTTATCAACGCATAATCTTATTGGCACCATATCAACAATTAAATCGTTTAAAGAAAAACGGATATATATAACCTTATGCCATGGCCAGGTCCACATGATATTTGCTCGATCCACAAGTCCTTGGTGCCAGGGCCAATGGAGACACAATCATCCCCAGTTTTGATGGAGGTGTTGAAGATTGCCACACTTCTTGATAATTGGACGTGGATGCCATCAGTGTTGGGGCTATTTCCGGCGGCATTCACCGTGATGCCTTCAATCTCAACATCTTGGCACCCGTTTATCACAATGTGGAATATCTGGCTGTTCAATGACGTCAATCCCTTGATGCTTATGTTTTTCGAGTTAGTAAATCACAGACTCTGCGATCCAACCGCAAACAATAGAGAATTATAAGTTGGACCAGCATTAGTCCGATTGATTCTTAATAAAAGGAATGAACAAGACAAAAGAGTCTCTGGAAATCTGAAAGTAAAATTACTAACCGTGGCTCCGTTGGGACAGTCGGTGCTTCCTCCAGCTAACTTGCAAGCCCACAAAGAGGTACCTTTGGCATCAAGTGTGCCTCCCACGATGGAGATGCCTGTCACTCGAACAAAACTGAGCCAGTTGCTATCTCGGCCTAGGACTGGGTAATCAGAGGAAGCCATCAATGTTCCATCGACCCGGAAAGTAATGCGAGTGTTTTTGCATTTGTCACCTTTAAACACCATAGCAGAGGGAAGCAAGTACCTGCTTTAGGTACACTTATCGTAGTGGGAATCGTTGGAGGCACATGCTGCACCCCATGCATTGAGAAACGCTTGTGTGGAATCCGTTACACCATTAGGTTTAGCTCCAAAACCTCGAACGTCGTAAACCAATGAACTCTCAGCAACTGAGGACTGGTGTAAAATGTATAGAATCGTGAATACTACAACTAATCTGCAAAAGCAACAACTTGTAACCTCCACCATTTTTGCAAGTGATGAAAGTCGAATAAATGAGAATGGAGAAAAGTTGGAAGAGTGAAGGGGTAGTTATACTCTATACGGTACATGCATGCATATTTGTGGTACGTAATAAAATAAAGAGGTTGACATATTCAGATGATGTGGTGCGGATTTTAAGAAATTAATATTGTATGGTATAATAGTACAATACACATACATATATAGAAATTGTATTAAGAAAATTGCGCCGGAAATAAGCCGACTAATTGCTTCAAATGGATGTGCGCGTGTTTGCTTATGAGCTAATTACTCTGTTGTATAGTCAAGTAGTCTTATAAGAAATAGTGTGTAAATATTAATAAAAGTGAGGGAAAATGAAGGGTAGCGTCAGAGGTTAAGTCGTCATTGAATTGTTAATGAATCAATTTGCCTCTCAATCGGGATATTCCAACTTGTGATCTCTTTTGAAAGTTTATAATAGAAACATCATTAGACTTATAGCTAGTTGGTCCACATATACTGCCTCGAAAAAACTCAAAACTCTCAAATATTAAAGCATCCGTCTATATTAGAAATTCTTCCCGCATATTTTTCTTCATGAGTTCACGGTTATGTTAGTTGACAGATGTCAAGCTGGGGTTTTTAATACATTGGATGAGAAGCATTTTAATTTTTTATTATTTTAAATAAATATTTAACCTTAGTTATGCTAGTGTACAGAAGTCAAGCTTTGAAGGTGATGGTAAACATACACCATAGTTTATTATGACGAGCAAAAATGCTCCCATAAATCCGACGTAGACAGATTAAAGGAAGCATGAACAACAATAACAAATTGGAAAGATCTGTTTGATAAAGCCAGTAATTTGTTTGATAATCCATCAGTAAATTTAGTACAGATATACTCAGGTACAGATTGCCACCCATTATAAAGTCTCCAGACTTTGCACATCTCCTTTTCGTCATGCAAGAATTTTACCGATTCTGGTCGTGGCTTGTGCATCAGTCGCCTTCCAGAAAGCTTTTCTGAAACTAGTGCTCTTATCTGGTGGCATCAATCTAGCCCCTCAACCATGTGTTTCTGTAAGATGAATTGTCGCGCAGCGAAGCATCATGTGGCTTGTATTCCATGAGATAGCTGTGTGGAAGCTTCAAGTTCCGCTTGATCGCATCTCTTAAAGCCATTACAGCCTGGTCAACAAAGGCAAGGTCAACAGATTACACTACACACACACACACACACACAGAGAAAGATTAGTCACACAAGCAGCAAATTGCAATAAATTACCAACCTGATGATCAGAAGCATTCCGGTTCCAGACACTCAATATATCCTCGTTGAATCTGATGCTTAGTACCGCACCGCATATGTTCTCTCCATAATCAAGCTGGTCACCCACCAAGGCAAGAACCTGTGCATAACATGTAAGTAGGCGCAGAAATAAGTTCTAGTATACACATCTCTCCTCTAATGAGGATATACCACGTTCAAATACCCCCAAATATCTCAATTTACAAAACATAAGAGAAAGCCACATTAAATTAGCAGTAAAACACTATAATAGAAACACTCTCATATAAACACATGTATATGCATTAATATGTCAAGCACGTCCAGGCATTTGTATATACTTCTATAGGCTCCATTCAGACAGCATCCAGAGATTAGGAAGTGTACTTCAGAAAAGATGCCAACATGTGTGATTCAGGGTTTAGGCTTTAATGCTAAGGTTCTGGGTAACAAACGACCCCCAAGAGTTGAAACCTAAACCTAAAAGCATCAACCCATTGCCATAAAAGTGTAAAGTGCTGTTCTTACGATCTGGGATCCTGCCAAACAGGACCCCGCACCTGAAGCTGCCAGAATATTGCCTTCTTAGATCAGTAAAAAACAACTGGAAGCATCACTTGAATTGCAGAAAGATTTTCATTACTCAACAAAATCAATGAGACAAGGTACCAATGAATAGAGAACGCAGCGTAGTATTTTAAGCTACGTAATCCAGAAAGTAACTTATTAGCCAAATTAAAAATAAACCCCTACTTCATTATGAGCACATCAGTGCAAATACTTTGAAACCTGACAGAAAATACAAAAACAGCTTCCAAATTACTACATGGCTAACATCTATTCTAAACAGGGTCTCAACAAGGACAAAAAAATGCATTGCTTGTAAGAGTTGGACTAATAAGTGAACTCCACTGTGGTAATTCGTAATTAAATTCCCATTTAATATTCCACAACCAAGAACTGTAAATTTAACGCCTTAATAGGTCCGAAACAAGATAAGCAACTCTAAGAAAAACATATGGTTTCTTTTTGGCGAACCAGGTAATAAAACCTGTATGGATTCGAAGTTAGTTGTGTATATCCAAGTGAAGCCAATCTTTCAAATTTCAGACTTTTTAGGGTGCTACCAACTATATGGGGTGGATGATATATTCTTCGAAGGTATCACTGACATTTAGGCCATAAGACACCGAGATAAAGAGAAGTATCAGTATATGTCAACGCTGAGGCAAAAAAACTTCCCAGCATAGCAGTGAAAGAGGACCACAAATTTGATGAATATTCACCAAAATCTCAGTCCTCCTATGTGATGTGCAAAACAAGAGCTTCTTGGTCTTGACCCAAGTGGGCTTCTTGATCCTGTTGAGCTCAACATATATGGATATACAAAGCCTACAAGTTTAATCAGTGCATTAATTAGCATCTCTTAAAGCTTCATTCAAAATTTATGTATTTTTACAAAAGCTTCATTTTTGTAACTTTTACTATATGTTTTCACCAATACTTTGATAAATCTGGACTACCGATGTATTCCCTTAGTACCTATTTTTCATCCCTACAGTTGGTAAGAAAAGAACTATAGTAAAACAGATGCAATGCAGAATAGTAAGTTATACTGACACCCTTAACCTTGATAAATTAGAGTTTTTCACAATTTTTACAGAACTTTCACTTCATGTCAAATGTATATGCAACAAGGTATCAATTCAAACAAATTCTGCAGCACACAAGACAAAAGATGGAATACTATAATTTGCCAATAATCATGATTACTGTGTATTGCAGGCATAAATCTTCAGAAAGGCAACATGTATAGGAAAATTAGACGACTCTTCCAAAAGTTTAGAAAATGTGAGAATTTCCTACTAGAAGCCACTTAAGCTTCCAGTAGGATAATTTTTTCAGAATTTTAAAAATGAAACAACACCATCAACTGATAGTATGGCCTGGAAATTGCACAAGACCAAAACAAAGAGAGAAATTCCAGTTTTTATCCTTACCAGGTCCTCCCAAAAACGTCCCGACACAGCCTTTTTGAATCGTATTATCCATTTGCCACCGTTGCAATTAGCAGAGTCCTGAAAAACAAAAAAGTACACACTAATTCTGTCATTTAAAAAGTTTAACATCTCTGAACACTTGCATTCTGTAAGAAGGAATAAGAAGCAAAACTAGCCAGTGATTAGAAAGAGGAAAATGAAAGTCAGGTTTCAGATATTTACCTCCCAGAGAGGGCGAATTCCATCCTTGAAAAGATGCAAGTCTGTTGGACTAGGCAAAGAAGAAGGTCGGGCTAGGTGGCAATAACTGACCCAAAAACCTTCAACCTTATGTTATCCAAGCAACAAGAAGTCAACAAAAAGAAACGATTAGACTCAATCACATTTCCTCCGGCAGAAATTAAGGTAGATGTTATACCGTACTGAAGTCGACAATTTTCTTTATATTGTCTTCATATGATGTCTGGCTCCGGATTCCTGGAGTTCGGCGAGTGTACCAATATACGAACTTGTGCTAATGATAAAAACATAACAAAAGTAAGTGCTACAAGGACACAAAGATTACCAATTGGAACCTGCATTTCAAACAGAAAAATGGAGGAACACAACTTGGGCATGTGAAAGACCCACAGTAGACAAAGTGAATCAACGAAACCCGGTATCGTTTTACAAAATTGACAAGAACAAAAGACGGAGATCAAATTAAACTGACTCAAAGATAGATAATCTGCAGCAAGCCAAATCATTCAGCTCAACTTAGAGGATTAACAGTTTAATCATAATAAAGTCAGCTCACTGAGAAGCAATTCACTAATGAAAGACCACAAATTTATATAGATGAGCGAATCTCTCTAGGTCAATCAATCTAAACCCTATACATACACACATATATATACAGAGAGAAAGGGGGAGAGTAGAGAGGGAGAGAGGGAGAGAGAGAGAGAGGGGACCTTGAGAGGATGGAGGCCAGCTTTGAGGTCGCGAGCATGGCATTCACGAACTTCATCGGATTCGTTGGGATGATTATCGTGAGAGTCTAAGAGTGCTTGCGCGTAACTGGTGACGTTGTTGTTGTTGTTGATCTCATTGTTATTGTGGTTCGACTCCTTTTCTGCTATCAACTCCATCCTCCCCAAAAGCCCTAATTCCGTCTTTCTCTTCTCTCTCTCTCTCTCTCTCTCTCTCTTCTCTCTCTGCAACGCACAGCAACAGCATCAACGGAAGAACACCGTATGAAGTGAAGGAAGAAGAAAAGAAACGCGGCTGCCGCGTCTTGTTTCGGGCTTTTTATGACATGGTATTGGGCTCAATTTCAATTACCCGCAATTGGATTTTGGGTTGGACTTAGTTACTTTATTAAGGGTATCTCTTGGCAACCAAAAAATGCATGAAAATACAATTATACTCTCCACACATAACTTTTTTGTTTTTTTTAACAAACCACACATAACTAATTTATGTTAATTAATAAAACACTCATTATCAACCAAAATCTTATGAAATTATCAATTTAACCATCTAATTAAAACATAGCATGAATAAAAAATATGAGGTAGAAATGTGGTTTTTCATTAAAATAAATAGTAGCAGGAGCTTTTCATTAAAGTTCTCATAAAAATATGGTATGAATAACATTACTCTTAACTTATTATGAGACTTATTATTATACTCTCTCGCTCTCGTAATGTATATAATATCATTTTAGTATACTCTCTCACTCTCGTAACGTACATAATATTATTTGTTTAGGAAAAAAATAAAATAAAACTCATGGACTTTCCATATTCAAGACTTACATTGAAAAGATAGAGAAAAAAATTCAAGATATTAATAATTTAATTGGCTCTATTTAATTATTAAAAATGTAATTGACTCTAATGTTTTTTTTTTTTATTTTAAATATATCATCTCATTAGTCTGGTTTTAATTTTGAGCACCATTTTTATTCACACACGAGGCCGCCGCCGCGTGGAGGAAGGAGGATACAGAGAATTTTCAATTTTGAGAGCTACTTTTCCTCTCTCTGTTTTTTTTTTCCAAGATATTTTTGTTAGAAGGAATGCGGGTAAAATTCTAACACCAGTCACCACCACCACCAACTCCAACCCCAAAATTTCTCACCCTTTTCTTTTCCTGCATTTCTTCGAATCCCAGATTTTGTTTCTCGTAAAAACTCATACCCTTTTCTTGGTTTTCATTTTTTCCAATTTTGCCCTTCTCTCACCTGTGTATTCTCTTCTCTTAGCCTTCTTTTCCCCTTCTTCTTCTTCTCGTGTTCGCCGATTGGACTGGTTATTGTTGTTCATCGTCTATGGATAAATCTGTAATCTTTTTGTGTATCGCTGCCTTGGCAACTTCGCTACGATTAGTTTCTTCGTCTTCTGTTTTATGCCCTCACGACTCCGATTTCTTCCGGTACAGCCTTCAATCTCAATGCCCCATCTGGATCTCCCCCCATCCACCCCTCAAGGTACGTTTTACCCTTCCAATTTCTTACATAACTCGTTAATTATCCATTTATTTGTTAATTTACTGTATCTTTTGTTGTTGACTTTGTTGATTATTGGAAATCTCTTTTTTATTTTTTTTATTTTTATTTTTCCTATGGGTTGGTGATGGCTGAATATAATTTTTTTTTCTTAGATTTTTAATCAGAAATGGTGATTCTCGATGCTGGGTACTTCAGTTTTCGAGGTTTTAATTGCAAGATGATAGTTGTTATGCCATGCATTGTTTCTTTGTTAGAATGATGAAATACGATTTCAGATAAACTTCGTATGCCATGTATTTTGTCTTTGTTAGGATGATGAAGTTCGTTAAGTTTCTGAATTTGTGATCAACGAGCTAAAGAAGGAAATTTAAGATAGAAATTTGAGATAGCTTTGTTACTGAAATGTACAAATATGTATTGGCTTCAAGGGAATATAAGTTATATAACTCCGTCAAAGTGCTAGGTCGCCTATTAGATAGCGTTTCTGTCTAGTCACTCCATGGAGTGCGGTGTTAGTATTGCGTTATCCAGTGAAGAGGCTTTGGTATGAAGTAAATCTTTGTATGAGTAAGCTATTAGTTTTTGTGCTTACATATATGTTTTGCTGCCTTGAAGAATCTGCTGAGATAGTTTTTGGTAAATGGTGGGTTTTGGTGGAAAACGTGCTATGCTGCATGATGGAGCTAGAACACAAATGATATGCGTCTGCATGGCAAATGATTATAAGTTACAACAAGTAGGGTGTGTCGTCGTGTGTGGCTATGGTTCAAGTTGGTGCATTATCTGATTAATCCTACGACAAATGATGTGAATATCTTGTATGTATAGAATCATTTGGGGGTTGCACTAAAACAAGACTATTGCCTTGCACTGAAACTCTCTCTAATTTGGCATTAAATGCAGCAGTTGTTTCATTCCCCCTTTTACCTCCCAATCCTCAGCCACACTATATGTTAAACTAGAACTAGTTTAATATAAGGGACTCGTGTTTTCAGATTATATATTCATTAAAAAAAATAATTTATTGTTCACCCAAAATAAAAGGCGAAGAAGAAAGTTGGTTACTTTAGTTAGATGTAATGTTTGGACCATCTTTATCAAACTTAATGTGCTGAACTTTGTGATCATGTATGCTTCTACATTTGGTGAGAATGTTAGCATTACAACATTAAATTAATCTTAAAGTCATGTAGTGATCTCTCTCGGTAACTTATGATTTTGCGGCACATAAGGAACTTGAGTAGTGCATTCTCTTACAGTGGTTTTAGTACATTTGGAATGCCTTTGTTGTGCTTTTATCGGAGCATCTTATTTTTTAGAGGTTGTAAAGTAGTAGGTTGTGAAACACTGGCTATTAATTGTTTATATTATTGCTGAAAAGTTTATGTAATGAAAGAGATTATGATATATAAATATAATATGTAAAGTAGATTAGAGGTTGATAGTCTTAGTGAAAACTGCTGTACAATAGTCTTGAAACTAGGTGTTAGGGATAGGGATATGGATTGCTGGTTCCGCTAAAGTAAAGTGTTTAGGGGGATCCAAAAAGAGCATTGTGGTGGTGATATGAAGAAATAGGGGCTGGTTATGTACACATGGTCATAGCAGTGCCTGAATATCTATGGAAGAGACTAAATTCTAGGCTCCAAAGCAACTCCATATTTATTAGAAATATGGTCAGAAATTTTATTGTTGTCTAAGGATGCATCTCAGCAAGTGCCATTAATCTTTACAGTGTTTTCTGTATTAGAATGAAAACCGCATACCTTAAGAATTTGGAGTGCATATTCATTGATAGATGTTTTACTTTTCGTTTCCAGGGGATGTAAACGAGGTTTGCTGCTTTTGTAAGTTGAATTTAGAGTTTGGATACGGTTTAGACTCTAGGGTTTAGGCCTTGGGGAAAAACAACAGCGATCTGTTTGAACAGTAAATGATCCATCTTTTAAATGCAATGGGGATCCGTTTATTGAGTCATAATAATCAGCTGATGGTAGTATGACATTGTTTTGAAAGAATACACCACTAGCATGACATTCTTGTTCTCTTTAAAAAATGGAGACTTCTGAATGTTGTTGCTTATTATTTTTATTTTTGCAGGTGGATGGAAACTTCCTAGACAGAGCTTTGGCATCGCAACAGAGGACTGATTATACAGCAGTGCTCTTTTATGCTTCCTGGTGCCCATTTTCACGCACAATGTATCCTACATTTGAAAAGCTCAGCTTCATGTTCCCTCAAGTAGAACATTTGGCCATTGAGCAATCTTCAGCCCTGCCGAGGTAAGCTTAACTTGGTGTACTTTTGTCCTCTATCTAATTTTTGCGTAAGATTCCTTCTTTTGCATTTGTATCTGTGGTAAGCTAAATTATTGATGTTGTAGGCCAAACATTCATTTCAGGAAAAAGAAAATATAAGTGTAACTGTGTAAATTTACTGAGTAATTTGTTTGTTTCTTAAAAAACATCTGTGCATTCATAATGTTTTGTGATCTAATTGTCAAAGAAGATTCTACAGATTTATTCTAGTTAAAACTGCATAATATCCATGGCCTTGGAAGGCAATTTGTTCATTTTCTTATAGTTATTACCATACCGCTTCCAGCAATGGGGGAGATATTTACTGTAAGATATTTATGGGGGAGATTATTATCTGTTCTTTGAAAACATTAGCTACATCGTCATGCTGCCTTACCTGCCTTTGATGTGTTGTATTGCAGTGTGTTCTCAAGATATGGAATACATAGTTTCCCTTCGATTTTAATAGTCAATCAGACATCAAGGGTGCGTTATCATGGTCCAAAAAGTCTCTCCTCGCTTGCACAGTTTTACCAGAAAACCACAGGTAAAATTTTCTTAAATTGAAGAATATTCATGCATGTGGAGCAGGAAGCTTACCTATTGTATTCTTTTCCTTCTCATCCATTTTTTGCACTATTTCTTACCGCATATGTTCTTGATGCCTTGTGTCTTTCAGGACTTAAACCAGTTCAATATTTTGATGACGATCAAATAGTCAGCTTAAATATTCGTGAAAAATCTTTAATCCAGTCAGTGAGTAACATGTCACTCAGGGAGATATCAAGGAGGGAACCCTATTTAGCTTTTGCCATATTGTTTCTCTGTTTGAGGGTGCTTCTGTATATATTCCCAAAGGTATTGACTCGCCTCCATGCTTTCTGGGTCCTATACGTTCCCCATTTTAACTTGGGAGTATTTGGGGAGACAAGTCAAAGTATGGGGCGTATCCTCCCCATGGTTGACGTTAGGAGGATTTGGACCAAGCTGAGATTATGCAAGATGAGGAACTTCCACGAGGGAGCAAAGAATGCCAGGGTTTGGGCTTCTTCCCTAACTTCTGTCTCCTTGGGCAAATCTTCATCTGCTCGATCGTCGTCATTGTCATCTTAAATGCAGTACTTAAAATCTTGTACAAGACAAACTTGCGTATAAATCTCCAACTAACGTGTATCATCGATCATAAGCTGCTGTGATGCTCTCGGGGCAGGTAGTCCTCTCTCTCTTTGTTTCCCTCTTATTTTTACTGGTGGTGATGATAGCTGAATTGAGTTGAGTGTTTTTAGTGAAAACAAACCAGCATTGAAAATTTGAGAATAGCTTTCTTTTTGTAAATTACTCGTCATCTGACGGAACCTGTATGGAGTTATACCAGTGGAACGTGAGTATATTATCTTTGTCTCGATTCATTGTTCATGACCATAATCTTGCTTTCACTAATCATCTAAATCTTACAGTTACGTATGAAATATCATGTTCCAGATAATAGTTGGGCATATTGAGGGCTTGTTGAGTAAGGAGCTCTGCATTTTTTGGGCATTCGTAAACTTAATTTGCCTAATGGAATCCACGACTTGTTGCTTAAACATCACACTCCATATTGAACGACTTGCCCGCACGAAGAACTCTGCTTCATCATCTACCGTCTCCGCCACGACATTACGTTTGCAGCTGTTAACAGCTTGAAAACCAAGCTCCGTCGAGTAACTATGAGCTAATGTCTTTTTGGTGAATGCGGGCGTGCCAACTCGCAATCGAGCTCGGTTGGGCGAGTAGAATAGCGTGGTAGTGGTGTCGAATTTTCTGTTGACTTCTGCGCTTGAGCGACTACGGTTGAGGAATGAACACTTCTTAGCCTAGTTCTAGAACCTGAAGGCTAGGTTGTCTAGTTCACTATGAAGGTCAAGATCGTCTGCACTGAGTTCAGCGTGCGCTAAACTGGTATCAAATTGTAACGGCAAAGGTACTCAAAGGAGATGAGCATTTTAATGGTGATCGTGGTTAAGTCGTGTGAATGTCAAACTGCAAATGCACATGAGATTAACCAGTCATAAGACTTGGAAGATAATCAACCAATCCAGAAGAAGATTATGAACATGGTAAAACTCGATCGTTCTTCATTGATCTAGGATTTTTTTTATTAAAAAAAAAAGAAGATAGTAAGGGAAAGAAAGAAGAAATGTTGATGAGACTCTCTCAAAGTGAGACTGTTTATGAACTTTTTGCTATCTTATCTTTTTGATAAAATACTTTATAATATTAGTATGAAAATTGTCCATGAAAAATTTTACTTTCAAGAGAATCTCCTTAATATTTCTTAAGAAAAAAAAAAGAAAGAAAGAAACCAATAATAGAGATTCCATCCCATGGACAGTTGGACGGGCCTCCCTTTGTTTGGTGTATTTTTTTTAAAATTTTTGCTTTTGCATCATTGTCATCCAAAGCGAACTCGAACAAGCAACCGACAGTCGCTCTCTAATTTCCTTTCTCTTGAGCAGAAAGTGTGCAACTTTCACATGGAGGGAGGGAGGGAGATCAAAAGAAATATCCTTTGGTCCTTGAACATTAATTAACCTCTAACCCAAGTTACACAATAGTAATCAAACTTTAAATTTAAAATAAAGCCATTAACAATTGAAAAGAAATATAAACCGAACCCATCTGGTGAGGCAAACCTTGCTTTCTCTCTTTGGTGGGTCCCCTTTTGGACCACCATGCATCCTTCTCTTTGTCACTATTAGAAAGGATAAGCACTCCCCTCATTCAAACCGTGTCAAATATCTTGCTTGCTGAATGGTGTGGATCAATCTTTCACTCCAAGAGCAACAAGACACACTCCATCCCCATGTCCAGTGAGAATCTCCCCACAAAACTCCATGAAAGCCACCTTCTTTGATTCAATTATTATTCAACATTACCAGTACCCAACTTTGAAAAATATTTCCCGATTTTATTATATATAGATGAAATACCCTTCTCCTTTTTGGATCATCTAAATTCATTGATCCCAAAATATTTCTTTTTTTGTTGTTGTTTGGAAACGAGATGGATCTTGATGAGTGGGAGTACCTCCCTGACGATGCGTTTCTTGATTTCCATGAAGAGAGTGCAGACAAGAGGATTTTCTCAAGCAAGCGATACTCCTCTTCTGATAATTCAAAAAGTGTTTTCAACATGAACTACTTCATAATCCCATCACCCAGTTCTAGGTCAAAAGTCATTCACGAGACACCACCACCACAACCGCCAACACCACCGCCATCGGCGTCGCCAGCTGGGATTGATTCAAGGCTTGTTCCTGTTCCAATTCAACTGGAACTACCTCCAAGCTTTGGCAAGGCCTCATCACTCCCACAAGAAGAACAAGAAGAAGAAAAACAAGTCATCAAAGTCTCCCAAGTGGATCAAGACACACAACTGTCCCAAGTTTACTTCAAGAAAACTTGGGAAAATGAATTTGCCGACATGAAAATATTGGACTCCCCAAAGTCTCCCACCTGCAGATCACCCAAGTTTATGCATCAACAAACTGATAAGCTTCAGTTTGATGAAAATTTAGGTCAAGAAATCACCTCTCCAAGGACGAAAGTTGTTGACCAAAACAGCTTGTTGGAGTCATCAGAAGATACCAAAGAGATCAACAACAGCAACAACAACAACAACAACAACAACATCTGGAAGCTGAGTTTTACAGGAATCGGAGCGATTTGCTCTTTTGGTTTTGCTGCTGCTACCATTTGTATTATCTTTTTCGGTGCCCATCAGAGGAACAAACAGTATCAGCACAACCAGAATCGCTTCCAGATCTATACTGATGACAACAAGGTTAGCAAATTTAATTTTTCTTCTAGCTCTTAGCTACATAATTAGTCCAATTAATTACATAAGTGCTATTTTAATTTCTTAATTTGTTTTCTTTTTCCCTTTCTTTTTAGTTAATTAAAAATTGGCACTCGTCCAAAACATTGACTTATTACAATTTGTTTGATTAATTTTCTTTATCAAATCTGATTAGTTTTCTAATATGCGTTAACATGTCCAGTTAGTCATTAAACACTAAACTCGACATGAGTTATATAATATAAACAAGACGGTGATTGGTTATAAATTACTGAACCCGACATGCTGTTTCAATCATGCACAATAATATCTTCCGTGTGGCGTCAAAATGCATTGTTATAGGTTTATTTGCCCCATTTTAGGATTGTCAATTGTACTAGAGTTGAACCAATAATAATTTAATCCCAGTTTTGTTAATTTTTGGATGGATGCAGAGGATTAAGCAGGCTGTTGAACGTGCAACCAAATTGAATGAAGCATTTTCAGCAGCTAGAGGAGTACCCCTCCCTAGAGCTCATGTCACATATGGTGGTTACTATAATGGTTTATGAACAGCCGGCGCCCACTCGATGAAATGGAAGTTCGTTTTTAGTACAGTACAGTACTGCATGAGTTCGCTTTTCAATGTACTTGTACAAGATATATATATAATCTTTCTTCTAAGTGTATAAGGTCAATAATTGCGCGTTGCATGCACGGGATCGATGCTTGTATATATAGATTCTGAATCTTTTATTTGAATAGGAGATTCCCAACTTTGTATTAGTTTGGCTACATATTTATTATTTGTATTTGTAGAAGATATACAAAAGTTCTCATTTCTCACTTCTCTTCCGCCACCTTGAACCTCTTTGCACAACAGGAAAAGTGAAGAATAACAAAGATGAGTAGTTATTTGGTTGTTGCTGCTTGAGTGCTTGGTAACAATGTTGTTATCAACGGAAAAAAATAAAGTAAAATTATAATGTACTAGTCACATTGTGGTGTGACTACTTTTTGTCAACTTTTTTCATTCGCAACCTCATTATTGCACTAGCAATAACAATAAAGTAACTATTCATTTTGATAACTGTTGTTAACTTTTTTTGTATTATCGTGGTTAAAAGGACAATTATATTAATAAGAAACACACTCAATTTCCTTTTCGTTATCTTCATGTAAAGGCCAATGGTGGATCCCATGTACATGGATGCTTAATGAACTGTTTTTAGTCTCGACTGATCGACATCTTCTTATTATTATCTAAGCAGTTTAGTTTTCAAACATGATTACGTAATAAACAATATCCTTTTCTCTTGGGTAAAGTCTAAAGCCAGAAATAGTTTATTCATCCGCTACCTAACTTTAATTTATATATATATGCAATTGTTAACCATTGCCATTATTTTTCATGTTTTATACTAAATTATTCAAAATTACGAGAAGAAGAATTCTAAGTGTAAAAAAATGAATACACAGTTCTAATAAATTAGCTTATCACTCACATATTCGGGATGGTTTTGTTCAGCTAATGCTTAATTTTTGACAAACTAATCTTTCTTTCTCTATGCTCTTACTCTACCTGGAAATACTTGATCCAAATAATTGATTAGAAGCAGCTAATTAATTGGTTGCCGAATCCGATTACTCATACGCAAGAACTTAATTTGGTAGATATTTTGACAGGCCATGAGGAGGACTGATGGTGCACCATACATATTCAAACAAATGATATTACTGAGTCATGACCCACTTCGATCAGAATTTGGTTGATTAATTTGTCAAATATGTGATGACCTGTGCTTCATTACAAAATTTACGACGTGATGTTCATAGGCTACATTCAATATATGATTGAGAAATAATTCACAAACGCGAATTGGTTCTGCTTGGAGTGACCCTTAAGGCCTCTCCACCAGAATGGACTTTTATAACTATGTTAAATAATTTGGTCACTTGGAATTTTGGTCAATTTTATTGAGTACGACCTTCATCAAAGACTCTTCTTCAATACTTTAGACACCCTGGCGGCTGGTGCTCGGAGTTCAACCACGTACGTCAAAACAAAAGAAAAAAATATGATTTGGAAACATTTGAAAGAAATAAAAGTCACTATATACGTTGCCCAATTAGTGAGATTCATAAATATACTCAAGAAGGCAATTAATTAGAAAACCTGATTTTAAACAAGTAGTTACTATATCATTATTATTTGAAATTAATTTTCATTTTTAGGTGAGTTTTTGCTCACCTCTTAATTATGGTGTAGCGTTTCTTTTCTTTATGTTTTTCTTATAACAAAAATGGACTCCTTTTTGCCCTCCAATTTAATTGTTATTTGCTATAAAAGTAGTTTGCATTCCAAGTTAATGTGGCATATGTTTCTCTCTCACTTTCTTTTTTTTTTTTTTCTCAAGACAAACAAGATACTAATGATGAGCATATATCGCCCTAATTACCTCCTCCTATTCCTCACCGCCTTATTGTATCTTTTCGTTGTTGTCACCGCGTATGGAGTGGGAGGAGGAGAAGGGCACCTTTACCCTCCCAAGTACCCTCCTCTAAGGGGTGGGTATTTCCCCTATGACAACTTGAACGACCCACGTTTGAGGGAGATCGCAGAGTTCGCCATTTCCAAGTACAACAAGATTCATGACCAAAAACTATTGTTGCAAAAGTTGGTTCATGGACAGTTCCAAATAGCGGAGGGAACCAATTACAAGCTTGTCATTACAGTTCTCAATTCTTCTAAGGTCTTTAGCGGCCCAATCAACTATGAGATTATTGTGTTCGAAAATTTTTGGAGGACTATTAAGGAACTAAAGTCCTTTGTTCGAGTCCAAATTAATAAAAATTAAATCCAGTCCACCTTATTTATAAGGTTTTTGGAGTCCTTTCTTACTTCTTTCTTATATGTTTTAGAACATAATCAACTAATAATATTCAAGTTACTTTCACATGATACATTTTGAGTTTGATTTCTAGCGCTGGCTAATCACACGATGGTGGTCAGGAGAGATTGAAATGCTTATGTGAGTCTTTCCAATTTCTGAAAGGAAGGATTGTTGTGGGGAAGCCACCAACTAGTCATCTTTTTCAAATAAGAAAAAACAACTCAATTTCATTACTCTTCTCAGATTCTCCTTTACTCACTCTTGTTTGTTCAATAGCAAACAATATTCTCTTTTGTGAAGTAACCAACAAAACGATATAAGAACAGGAAGAAATTAAACTAATTAACAACCTCGAATGTAAAAAGTAAATGTGTTTCTTTTGGTAAAGGCCGTGAAGTGCCCTTATACCTGAAAAGTGGGACTAATCTCCACTTGAGGTTCGGCTTGATTCTTGCAATAGAGTGCTCACGTAAAAATTCCGGCAAATATAAAAAAAAAACATGTAGCTTTCTTTTTGTTTAGTGGTGTTTTTGACAATATAATTTGGTGAAGCTTGTGACAGCAAAAAGAGGAGAGACTAGATTTTAGTACATGATGCAAAGAAGGGTAGTGACATTGATCCACAAGAACCTTAACAAACTCTTGAAACAGTGGAAGCTAATTTGAGGAAAGTTGAAGGCATGAGACAAACAATTGAAGTAATTTGTTAAACCCTGTGCCTTTCCTTTTTAGTCATTAAAAACCTCAAAACAAAAGAAACAATATTATTTTTAAATATTGCCTGTAAGGCCACCAACTGGTCCTTTTTTTCTAATAAGAAAAAACAACTCAATTTCATTACTTTTCCTCAAATTCTCCTTTACTCACTCTTTTTCGATCGATAGCAAACAATTTTCTCTTTTGTAAAATAACCAACAAAACGATATAAGAACATGAAGAAATTAAACTAATGAACAACCTTGAATATAAAATCTAAATGTCTTTTTTTGGGTTAAATACTGCGAAGTGTCCCCATACCCACAAAGTGGGACTAATCTCCACTCGAGGTTTAGCCTGCCTCTGGCCACAAAGTGCTCTCGTAAAAATTTCAGCAAATATAAAAAACGACATGTAGCTTTCTTTTTGTTCAGGTTTGTTTTGTCTATATAATTTGGTGAAGCCTATGACGGCAAAAAGAGGAGGGGCTGAATTTTTGTAAATGATGCATAGAAGGGTAGTGGCACTGATCCACAATAAGCTCAACAAACTTTTGAAACAACAAAAGCTAATTTGAGGAAACCTGATGTCACATCTCGGACCGGCTCCGCTGTGGCACGATATTGTCTGCTTTTGGCCCCGGCCACGCCCTCACGGTTTTGTTTCTGGAACTCAGATGAGAACTTTCTAGTGGGTTACCCATCATAGGATTGCTCTCGCCCAAACTCGCTTAACTTCAGAGTTTCAATGGAATCCAAAGTCAATGAGTTCCCAAAAGACCTCGTGTTATAGGAGGTAAGCATGTACATATAGGTATCGTTTGGTATGTAGACGGAACGGGACAGGATGGAACGGAACGGAGCTGGAACAAAATGCCCTCGGATGGAAACAAGGAGGAAGAAGAAGGAGACGGAGAGGTTATAATTTTGTGTTCCATGGATGTGGAATGAGTAGTTTCAGGGGGGTGAGGTAGAACGAAAATTCACCCAAAACTCGTTCGGTGGAACAGCTCGTTCCACCCATTTTAGGCGCACCAAACGTAGGACGAAACGCTTTGTCCCACTCTATTCCGTCCTGTCCCACGTACCAAACGGTACCATAAGGCACATCACCCCCTCTCCATTGGTTAATATAGGATGTTACACCTAAAGGCAAGAGACAAACAATTGAAGCTATTTGTTAAATCCGATGCCTTTCCTTTTTAGTCATTAAAAACCTCAAAACAAAAGAAGCAATATCATTTTTTTAATTCGAAAGAAATAAAAGTCACTATATATGTTGCCCAATTGATCCGTATCGAATATACTCAACAATGCAAATAAAAAAAGAACATGATTTTAAGCAAGTAATTACTATATCATTATTATTTGAAATTGATTTTCATTTTAAGGTCAATTTTGCTCATCCTCTTTGTTATGGTGTAGCGTTTGTTTTATTTTATTTTTTTATGTTTTTCTTATAACAAAAATGGACTCCTATTTGCCTTCCAATTTATTGGTATTCACTATAAAAGTGGTTTGCATTCCAAGTTAATGTGGCATTTGCTTCTCTCTCACTATTCTATTTTTTCTCGAGACAAACACAAAACTAACGATGAGCATGTATCACCCTAATTGCCTCATCCTAGTCCTCACTGCTTTATTGTATATTTTCGTTGCTGCCATCGCGTATGGAGTAGGAGGTGGAGAAGAGCATCATTACCATCCCAAGAACCTTCCTCTAAGACCATCTCCAATGATTAGGCTAAAAGCCAAATATTTTAGCCCGAAAAATTTAGCTTTTAACTCAGAAACAATTTTTCTGCTCCAACTGTTCTAACCTAAAATTTTAACCCATGATTATTAAAGAATGAACTTAAGCTATTTTTTTTTGTTAAATTAAATTCTTTTTTTAAATAAATATGTAGACTATCGTAAATTAATTTTATGAACATTTTAATCTAAAAAAATTTAAATTCTGATAAATATTGGGTGAAGTCCACTCCGATTTCTGGGCTAAATTTTGGGGGGAATTTGGCCTTGGTTTAGCATTTAGCATTTAGCCCAAATTTTCCCCTTGGGTTGGAGTGGGTTTGGGGGGAAATTTTGGAGGGTAATTTGGCTTTTAGCCCACTATTGGAGTTGGTCTAAGAAGTGGGTATTTCTCCTTTAACAACTTGTCTGACCCACGTTTGAGGGATATCGCGGAGTTCGCCATCTCCAAGTACAACAAGATTCATGACCAAAAACTGGTGTTGCAGAAGTTGGTTCAGGGACAGTATCAAATAGCTGGGGGATCCATTTACAAGTTTATCATTACGGTTCTCAATTCTTCTAAGGTCTTTAGCGGCCCAATCAACTATGAGATCATTGTGTTCGAAAATCTTTGGAGGACTATTAAGGAACTGAAGTCCTTTGTTTGAGTCCAAATTAATAAAACTTAAATCCAGTCCACCTTATTTATAAGGTTTCTGGAGACCTTTTTCTCATTTCTTTCTTATATGTTTTAGAGCATTATCAACTAATAATATATAAGTTACTTTCACATGATGCATTATGTGTGACATCTCATATCGCTCAGGGGAGTGATTCTTAAATGTATATTCTCATTCCTACCTAGCACGAGGCCTTTTAGGAGGTCACTGGCTTTGGGTTCCGTAGGAACTCCGAAGTTAAGCGAGAAGGAGGCTAGAGCAATTCCATGATGGATAACCCACTAGGAAGTTGCTCGTGAGTTCCCAAAAACAAAATCGTGAGGGAATGGTAAGCCCAAAGAGGACAATATCATGCTACGGTGGTGGAGCGGGCCCGGGAAGTGATCCGCTCCGGGCCAAGATGTGACAAATTGGTATTAGAGCCTAACCCTGGCCGTGGTGTGCCGACGAGGACGTCGAGCCCTTAAGTGGGGTGGATTGTGACATCCCACATCGCCCAGGGGAGTGATCCTTAAATGTATATTCTCATCCCTACCTAGCACGAGGCCTTTTGGGAGTTCACTGGCTTCGGGTTCTGTAGGAACTCCGAAGTTAAGCGAGAAGGAGGCTAGAGCAATCCCATGATGGGTAACCCACTGGGAAGTTGCTCGTGAGTTCCCAAAAACAAAATCGTGAAGGAATGGTAAGCCTAAAGCAGGACAATATCGTGCTACGGTGGTGGAGCAGGGCGGGGAAGTGATCCGCCACCGGCGGGGATGTGACATTATGAGTTCGATTTTTTGTGCTGGTTAATCACACGATGGTGACTAAAGAGAAGTTGAAATACCTCTGTAAGTCTTCCCGACTTCTGAAATGAAGGATTGCCGTGGCGAAGCCACCAACTAGTCCTCTTTTTTCTAATAAGAAAAAACAACATAATACAAACACAGTTTGAAAACAATTGAATTTCATTACTTTTCTCAGATTCTCCTTTACTCACTCTTTTTCGTTTGATAGCAAATAATTTTCTCGTTTGTGAAATAACCAATAAAACGATATAAGAACTAAAGGCAAGAGACAAACAATTGAAGTTTATTTGTTAAACCCTCCATGTCTTTCCTTTTTAGTCATTAAAACCCACAAAACAAAAGAAATAATATCTTTTTTAAATATGTGAAAGAAATAAAAGTCACTAAATACGTTGCCCAATTGATCCGTATCGAATGTACTCAACAATGCAATTAATCAAAGAACATGATTTTAAGCAACTAATTACTATATCATTATTATTTGAAATTGATTTTTGTTATTGGCTTAATTTACTAAATCTTTATAAAGGATGGAGAGAAGGGGTGCGGTAGCAATAGAGCGAGAAGAGAGTGATGTGTAATTGTGAGATGTGTGTTATGCTACCTATTGTGCCTTTATTTATAGTAGTAGGGAAGGTAAATTCCTTACCCTAATAGGATTACAACACTAATATAATAATATCAAGTCTAAGAGATATCCCATATATGATAGGATTTACATAATCACATTCCTAATCTAATAGGATTGCAACAATTTTCATTTTTTTGGTCATTTTTTTTGTCATTCTCTTAATTATGGTGTAGTGTTTCTTTTCTTTATATTTTTCATATAACAAAATAGGGACTCCTTTTTGCCCTCCAATTGAATTGTTATTCATTATAAACGTAGTTTACATTCCAAGTTAATGTGACATTTGTTTCTCTCTCACTTTTCTATTTTTTCTCGAGACAAACACGAAACTAACGATGAGCATGTATCACCTTAATTGCCTCCTCCTAGTCCTCACCGTCTTGTTGTATCTTTCCGTTGCTGCCACCGCGTATGGAGTAGGAGGAGGAGAAGAGCACAATTACCCTCCCTAGTAGCGTTCACAAAGGGGTGGGTACTTCTCCATTGACAACTTGGGCGACCCACATTTGAGGAAGATCGTGGAGTTTGCTATCTCCAAGTACAACAAGATTTATAACAAAAAACTGGTGTTGCAAAAGTTAGTTCGGGGACAGTTCTAAATAGTGGAGGGAACCAATTTAAAGCTTGCCATTGCGGTTGTCAATTCTTCTTCGATCTATAGTGGCCCCATCAACTATGAGATCATTGTGTTCGAGAATCTTTGGAAGACTATTAAGGAACTGGAGTCCTTTGTTCGAGTCCAAACTAATAAAAATTAAATCCCGTCCATCTTATTTATAGTCTATGGGGTCGTTTCTCACTTCTTATATATTTTAGAGCATAAGAAATTAATCGTCTACTAATAATATACAAGTTATTTTTATTTTACATGACATGTCATGAGTTCGATTTTTAGTGCTAATGAATCACAAGATGGTGGCCAGAGAAAGCCTGAAATGCCTACGTGACTCTTTCCAGCTCCAAAAAAAGTGGATTGCCGTCAAAGCCACAAACTGGTCCTTTTTTTTTTTTTTCTAATAATAAAAATAAAAAACAACTCAATTCATCACTTTTCTCATTTTCACCCTGAACCACTCTTTTTTTATCCATAGCAAACAATATTCCCCTTTTGTGAAATAACCAACAAATGATATATAAGAGGGAGAAATTAAACTAATCAACAAACTCGAATGTAAAAAGTAATTTTTTTCTTTTTGGTAAAGGCCGCGAAGTGTCACCACATCCTGCAAAGTGGGATTAATCACCACTCGAGAGTCGAGACGAGTGGATCGGCTTGCCACTGCCACATGGTGCCCTCGAAAAATTTCCGTCAAAAATAAAAAACGACATGTAGCTCTTTTTGTTCACCCATATAATTTGGCGAAGCCCGTGACGGCAAAAAGAGGAGGGACTGGATTTTACAGTAGTAGACAACATCAACTTCTTCTTCTTCCCCGGGTCGCCGCCGTACGTAAAGCACGACTCTCTCCTCATAACTCGCCCCGCCGCCGTGACCTCTGCCGGGTAAGAGGTTTAGTGCCTCTTCTACTTTTAATTCCGCTTCGTTCTCTAATTTAGGAATTTGCGTATTGAGGATTTAGGGATGTTGCCATTACAAACAGATGAATTCGAAATTTTCAACTGTAATCAATTTGTAATAGCTTCTGAAAAGTGAAAACAAAGTGAGATTAGTACTCGCTGAAGATTCAAATGGACAACGAAACGATGGAGTTCTGTTTTTGAATAACTTCTTTCTCAGTGTAAAGTCTGTTGATTCGTTGATCTATAAAATTGGGGAAATCTCATATTAACAAAGGGCACTGTATAATTTTTAACCGAGGAAAATTGGCTTGGAATTTCATCCCTCCACATTTTCCATTCCTGGGTCTCTGCCTGTTCTACATTCTGCCATGCAGTTCCAAATGTCACTGCCGGTTTAATTTCTTTAGACGATACTTTTCATTTTTGCTGCTGCAGAATATTTTTGAAATCATTTTAATTGAGCTTTTGGGAAGGCTTTGTTTGACAGAGCGGAAAGCGGACTGTTTGTCATTGGCTTCAGTGTCAGCACTCTGGTTGAAGTCTTTAACATGGTTAGTCTTATTTTCATTACAGTTATAATTTTGATTGTTATTTGTCTTCTCTGTCAAGTATGGTTAAATTTTCTTTCTGTTTTTATTCTCAGGAAGTGTTCAGGACGGCCATATTGCAGCCCGGTCCACCTGAAAGGTTTGCCCTTCAGACAGTTCAACAAGTTATACAACCTCAGGTAACAACTATAGATCCTTCATGTTCAGGGTTCTTCTTATTTATATTTTTTGCTTCCCAAAGATTAAGTCTTGTGTAAATGCATGCTTAGCTATTTATGGCTTTGCTTCTCAAGGCTGAAATACGGTTGGGATTTCATTCTCTTTCTGTTTGCTACATTTGGATACACTTTTTTTTGCTACTTTTGTCTGATAAAGACTTCAATTTCTAATTTTCCAATGAGTCCTTTACTTGATTCTAGGCTTTATCCTTGGTGTTCAGGGGAGCATTGCTTTCTTCACATATATCCTGATTGTACATTAATCACATATTTAAATCTTTATTTTTTCTGGATTTTGTTGTTTGGTCAATAAAAATTGGGCCAATTGATTTCATCATGACAGAAACAAACAAAGTTAGTCCAAGATGAGAATCAATTGCTAGAAAATATCCTTCGGACATTGCTTCAGGAACTGGTGGTATGTATCTCTTTCTTGTACTTGTGAACAGAATATTTTGATTATTTGATTATACTTCTGAAGTATACTGCATTTCTAGTTTTTTCTGCATATGTTAGCATGGTGGTCATCCACAGGAAATTAATGTTTGTAGCACGCTAAAAAAAGACCTTATGCTTATTTGACGTCACAGCAATGTATTAAAAGTGTGAGGCGTGGGCGAGGCGTCCAAGGGATAGCCCAGCCTAGGCGTGACCTAAATTTTTTAATATATACATTGAGCGTACACATATATTATATTAAAAAAAGAAGAAGATTATTAATCAATAATCACCCTGAGCACTCACATATATTATAAATACATATACACATATATATACATATATTATAGTATATATATAAAATAGAGGATGAAAAGCACAATGAGCACACATATAACAATGCATGCAAACAACACACACATCCATTATATAAAAAAATAAAAATCAGAAAAAAAGGCAGAGAGATGATAGTGCAAGGAAGAGGTATGAGGCAGTTAAATTTCTACCCAAAATTTGGGTTTGGAAGTAAAAAAAAAAAAAAAAAAAAAAAAAAAAAAAAAAATTCCCCTGATGAGCGCCTAGGTGGCTCCCACAACGCCTTCCGCCCACTCCCTCAAAACAAATACAGCAACCCTCAAGCCCAGCCTCACAGGGCGCCTAGGCACGCCCTGAGGCGAGCCTTTTAAAACATTGCGTCACAGTCATGTATTCTATCTAAATCTGAAGTAAAGTAGACCCTGTTATATACCTGATTCCCCATCAACCTGAACCCTCTTTACATATTTGACATCAATACAGAATTTTCTCTCTCTTATGCATTTGGTTTTATTTGTAATTTTATGTCGCGTAACTTGAGATTCTCACAGTCTTCTGCAGTACAGTCTGGTGAGCAGATAATGCAGTATGGTCAATCAATTGATGCTGGAGAAACTGCCCAAGGACATATTCCACGTCTTCTTGGTCTGTACATGTTTCTGTTAAACTATTGCAAGCACTTAGTTGTACGTATCTAATGTTCTTGACTTGCTTTTTAGAAGAAGCTTATACACTTTCTAATATAAAAATTCCTACATGTTGTGTTGGTATTTCGATATGTTTCTTGTAGTGCACTCAGCATAAATCTTTAAACTCTGAGAATAATTTATACATTGATGTTTTTCTGATAAGAATTCGTATTGCTATTAATTTTTGTGGTTTATCTTTTGACATTTAAATCGCACCTAACTACTTTTTGACAAAATTCAGAATTGACTTTTGATTCTCAATTGTAGACCTGTATATCCTCTAATGTAAACAATAAGCTTTTTTAGGTCAGTTCTTTGCCTTACAAGGGCTACTCTATGGAAAATGGCTTGTAATATTGGTTTTTGTGAAGAAGAAAATTGACGAGTCTTATAGAATGCGTCTCTCTCTTGCTCTATCTCCACGTATATACTACTCTCTCCCTCTGCCTTATACAGCTCCTTTTATCTTCTGATGCACCAGACGTTGTGTTGTATCTTTGTGAGAAAGAGCACGTCGAAGGCGGCATGATCTTTCAGCTGTTGGAAGACTTAACAGAAATGTCAACTATGAGAAATTGCAAAGACGTTTTCGGTTATATTGAGAGTAAACAAGATATATTAGGAAAGGTTTGTGCTTTTTATATGTCAATGGATTATTTTTCCGTGTTTTGTTTTTTTATTCTAAGTTTCCCATTTTCCTTCTCTTTTACATCCTGCTATACTTTACATGGTTCTCCTCATGCAGCCTGAGCTTTTTGCTCGAGGAAAACTTGTGATGTTGAGAACATGCAATCAACTTCTTCGTCGTCTGTCAAAGGTGGTGTTACTAATCATAGTAGTCATCTTTGCTTTTACAGCCAACTTTCATTTTTGAAACTTTCCCCTATATTGTGATATTTGTTTGTTTTTCAAAAACCAAAAATTGGTATGCTATTCAGAAGTCACATTTAAAGCTGGTTTTATAATGTTTATAGAAAATAACAGGTGCTCAGGTTAATATGTGTTGTACTCCTAATTATGTAATGGTGGTTACATATTTGACATTATAGACTTGAGGATGGGGCATTGCATATTTGTGCTAGGGAGGTTCTTATGTGTTTCTCACATTGCTCCATTGTGTTCCTCACATTGCTTCACTGTGATAAACAAAATTTAAAATGTGGTAAACAATCATTTTGATATTGTTTTTCTCTCTTTTGATTTATGAACTAATTTTTTGTTTTTTGAAATTAAGTGTTTTAGCTATTGTTGTACCACTTCAAGAAGTCCTTATTTGATGAAACTATATCCACTTCGATGATTAAATTTTACTTGAAAAACTTATTGTTATAGTCATGTTGCGTACTAATTTCTTTGAACCTGACTCATAGGCAAATGACGTGGTATTTTGTGGACGAATTCTAATGTTTTTGGCACACTTTTTCCCATTATCTGAGCGTTCAGGTACCTGTTTGTCCTCAATCCTTGTCTTCACTTGTAATTTAATTGCTCTCGACCCTGGTGTTCAGTTGGACTATATATTCATGTTGCTCTTATGGTTACTGTGTGCAGCTGTTAATATAAAAGGAGTTTTTAACACATCAAACGAGACAAAATATGAGAAAGACCCCCCTGATGGTACATCCTTGCTAATGACAGTTGCTTGGTTTCTCAATGTTGATGTCAACATATTATTACACATATATCTGTATAATATATCTAATGTGTATAACTTTTTGGTGAGTATAGGTCTCTTAAGCATATATGTTATCTGTTTTATAATTTTCAGGAATTTCCATCGATTTCAACTTTTACAAAACCTTTTGGAGTTTACAGGTAAACTATGCAACTTGGAAGCAATACGGAGCTAAGCTTTTTAGTTATGGTTTCCTCTTCTCCATTTTGATTTGAGTTTTGAGCTTAGGGAGTGTCTATATATAATGCTAAAAGGTTATATAGTTTGAAATGTTGTTAAATATTCATACTTTGTTTCTGTAATTCTTCTTGTAAACTGATATCAGTGATATCATTCATTATGCTAAAAACTTGTCTGGATGGATTTTCAGGAAAGCTTCTGTAACCCTCCTTCCTTAACTCTTGGTCCTACCAAGTGGAAGAAATTTACGTCTGGTTTAATGGTAATAACAGTCTTCTGACATCTTCGTTTTATTTATCTTTATGGTATGCCAGTTTCTCTTTATGTTATTATTCACTCAAATATTCTTTTCTTGAATGTCTTGTTAGGTTGTTTTGAATACCTTTGAAGCTCAACCATTAAGTGATGAAGAGGGAGATGCCAATAACTTGGAGGAGGAAGCAACAAATTTTAGCATAAAATATCTTACAAGCAGTAAACTGATGGGTTTGGAGGTTAGTAATGCTGGAGTGTTGACTTAGAGTTTAATTGTAGCAGACCATTATTTTGATTAGGAATCAAATCCTTGAATTTTGATGTTTTCTGGTGAGCACAGTTGAAGGATCCCAGTTTCCGACGTCACATTCTTGTGCAGTGCCTCATATTGTTCGATTATCTGAAGGTAGAGTTAAACAGGTCTTAATATTGATTTTGGGGAAATATCATTACACCTTCCTAATCTTTGGGCTTGTAATAATGGCCCTTTTCAACTTTCTAATTGATCTATTTTTCCCTATAGTACTCTAATATGGTAAAACTAACTCTTATTTTCTTGTAGGCCCCGGGAAAAAGTGAAAAAGATTTACCTTCTGAAAGCATGGTCAGTGTTGTAGTTATATCTTGTTGACTTTTGTAACTTTCTTCCTTCTTCTTTTGCTTTCATTAGAAAAGAAAACAACTTTCCTCAGGTGGTGCTATCTTTAGAAAGAGAATTTACCTCGGCGGTGTTGGTTATAACAAAAGATGTTGACAAAAAATGGAATAAATTGAGATGCCTTAGATATGTTATGATTTTGTTATTGTTTATCTCCAAAGTTAGGAATTTGGAACAAGGGTGGATTAGAGTACTACATTCAGATCTCACCTGTAACTTTATATCAATGTTCTGTGCTTGTGTTCGCTTATGAGTGCAGCATTATCCCAGTCATTTGCATCAGTTTTGTTATCGTTTCTTCTCACAAAAAAAAAAAAAAAAAAAAAAAAAAATATCGCTAATTTACTCTTAAGTTTATTGTATTAAAAAGCAACTGATGGTCCCTGGGTAATTGAGTTGTACTTGGGACTATATCTTATCTTTATTAAGATGCGAATGGACACTGCTTACATTTTCTTTAAGCTTGAAAAATTAATGAATTTGTGTAGTATACCTTTCATTGTGAACTGGTAAAGAGGATTTACTTTCATTTGGACATGGTTATGGCAAAAGGTTTTGTATGATACTATAAAGTCAGCTTTAGAATATCTGTGCAATTTATGATGTCTGCTAAAGATTTCCTTGTTGATTTCAGAAAGAGGAAATAAAATCTTGTGAGGAGCGTGTCAAAAAGCTGCTTGAGATGACTCCGCCCAAAGGGAAGGAATTTCTTAATAAAATTGAGCATATATTGGAACGTGAAAGGAATTGGGTGAGTGTGTTATCTGGCCTCAGCCATGCTATTCTCAGAAAATGTTATTGTTGTTCTTGAGCATAATATGCATTTAATCTATTCTTAGGTATGGTGGAAATGTGACGGTTGTCCCCCATTTGAGAAGCAGCCAATGGAGAAAAAGGTGATCCAAGAAGGAGCCAAAAAGCGGTATGCAATTCAGTGGCCTGCTTGTCTGGGTCCTGCTATTCCTTTTAATGTGTTTTTTAATAAGAAAAAATTGAACAATTTTATTTTTTCCTTATGTATAAGGTCTTAATAAGAATAACTGAAGCAGATAGAAGTAAATTCATCCTTTGTTTGCTAGCCCTGCTGGGCAATTCTACTTTAGTTATTCATGGCCTTGGGAATAGGTTTATCTTTTATGTATGTTTTAGATCTCTTTATTCTAAACAGTGATGCATATTTTGACTCGTCGTTTTGATGTTTCGATTTTTTTTGTTTCTGAAGTTTTGGGTTACTGGTATAGACACGGGTGTATATTGTTTCAACTTTTGATGTGTAGTATTAAAGACATTTCCATCAGATCTCAACTTTATCTCTGGAAATACTAAAGACATTGCTGTAGAAAACTTCCATGGGAATATTAACAACTTCAGAGATTCCAGTGATACTACCATTTTACATAACAGAGCAAGAACTTGGAAATTGGTCAAAATTGCGGTGACATCTCTGGAAATATTAAAGACATTCCACTGGTCCTCAATGATATTGTACGAAGTAATAAGATTTACACATTTTTTTGGCAGAACCCTGCTACCCAAATGCTGCCCTGATACCAGCTGATACTTCTGTACTCACTTTCACCAAGAAAAAAGGAAACAAAACTAGACTGTTTTTGAGATGAGGTCTTCTGACCAAGTGCTGATGTTTTGCCTTGTGGTGGAGATTGTTTCCTCTTACTTGAATATACAAAATGATTTGGATTGAGAGAAAGACAACCCTACCTTCATAATGGTATTTAGGATATTTTAAAATAAGCTACGATCTACGCAGAAAAATAAACAAATTCACATGCTAGATGAACTCATGGATTTTTGCTGGCATATATACCCATGCCTACGAATTAAAATTTTTGAATTGTTCACCAACTTTTATCAGCCTTCTGTTTGTTGCGACCTGTGAAGATATTTAATAAGTTTGCAGTGCTCATTATATTAACTTTTGGTTTTTTCTTTTGTCCTAAATTCAACAGTAGGCCGAGATGGAGAATGGGAAATAAAGAACTATCTCAGTTGTGGAAGTGGGCAGATCAGAATCCGGTATGCTAGATTGCTATTTATGACAAGATTGTTGAAATAAATCTGGCTTCAAACATGACAAACATTCACAAGGTTTTGAATATACGCAATTATTTTTTGCAACCTCCAATGTTTCACAAGCTTCGCCGATTCTGTATTTAAATATTGAGACAAAGTTTGATTTATTTTCAAGAGTGGCGGTGATCATCACGAGGAAATGTACACCCCCACACTCACACAGTATATATAAATAATTATATTATCAGCTGTTAACAAAAAAAGTTAATAGCATCTTGCTGATTCTTCATGGTTCATACCTACTGTCCTTTCTGAATTAGTACTTTTATACTCATAGAATATCAGTTCAGTTCTTACTATAAAGAAGACAAAGATTACATATCAAGTTGTTGAGGAAGAAACATGTAAATATGTAGCAATATGTTCCTTTCAGTATTGTTGACCACAAAATTAATTTGAAAATTATGGTGTTATATTGTTTGATAGTTCTTTTTTACTTGTCCAGAATGCTTTAACTGATCCTCAACGTGTTCGAACACCTTCCATCACTGAGTACTGGAAGCCCTTGGTTGAAGATGTAAGTACTATTTACTTCTCAATGCCCAAACTAGCATGTTGTGTGTGTGTACTTGCGCTCACTCTTGTCCCTTCTCATGCTATGGATTTTTTATTTTCTCATTAACTGTTTAGTAAGATGAATTTCTTTGAGTTACAGATGGATCCAGCAGCTGGAATAGAACCTGAGTATCACCACAAAAATAGCCGAGTGAGTTTTCTTCCAGAATTTTGGGTCAATATCAGAAGACAATCATATAGATAAAAGCTGGGTTGCATTTTGACTAGGGTTCATTGGTAATATAGAGTGCTATTTTATTTAATAGCTGTTCAACTGTTTCACAATGTGATTCAATGTGCATTACCTCTTGCTGTTGAATATTAGAATTGTTGAAACTCAAACTAGTGTTCCCCTTAAAATTTGATTTCGTTTTATCCAATAGTAAAATTTCAACATGCAGGTTTATTGCTGGAAAGGTCTTCGATTTTCAGCTAGACAAGACTTGGAAGGATTTTCTCGAGTATGAATATAACTATGTTTGCATAGTTAATGTATTATTTCATTTTTCACTGAGCTTTACACTACTTGTGTGGATGTCATTGCAGTTTACTGAACATGGTATTGAAGGAGTTGTACCGCTGGAGCTTTTGACTCCTGAGGAGCGGTCTAAATACCAAGCTAAACCAAATGACAGGTCTAAACGTGCTAAAAAGGAAGAATCAAAAGGTGCTGCACATCGATTAGAAGAAAATCAGGTATATAATTGGCAGTGTGTTGAATTTGTAGCGTTTTATTGTTGACATCTTTGATTCCTGTAGAAAGTTGAATATGCAAATGAGGAAATAATATGAATAATGTGTATGTGTTTGTGTGTGCGTGTATATTGCCGATGAGATTTAGAAAGAAACATCTTTCTTATTGAGACATAACATTACATGGCTGCATAACACCTGATCTGTGCTATGCATCTTCAGCCTAAATATTGAAAAAATGAGATGAAAAATGTTATAAACTTTGTTGTATATTTCGTGTTCTTTTTTGTCTTGGTGTAGGTTGTTTTCAAAATTGAGATCAAGTAAATGCATGTGTACGTATATGGAAGTATCAGCATTAATTGTACCCCAAGAATTTTGACAATATTTTTTTCCCTGAAGAATGCTACACCTGCAAGTGAATTAGATGGTGAAGCCTCAGGGACGCCAATGGACGCTGATACCATTGCTGCAGCCGGCAACATGTCCCAAGGTGGAAGTCCAATCCCCGATGAACATCAGAAGCAAAGCTCCGATGCGGATGTGGGTCAAGAGGGAGGTCAGTTGGAAGCAGATGCTGAGGTCGAGGTTGGGGCAGGGATGCTTGATGGTGAGGATGCGGAGGCTGATTTGGATCCAGTTGGTTAGCCCGTTCAAAGTTGGGAGTTTGCATATGTAAGAATGAATATTTGATTGAAAGTAGATGATGTGTTTGGAAATCCTAGATTGGCAACAAAAATTCCGACTAATTTTTGTTATGAGATTGTATGATCGCCGGCGAATGAACCACTCGAGGTTCCGTTTCTTCCGCTAAAAAGGGATTCATGAAAAAAATGGAATATAAAGACGTGTTCCAAGAACAAAAAAGACGCGGCGGAGGACATCATTGATACGTTGCTTGCGAGTCCTTTGGGCGGTCACAGTCAGCCATGGGAAAAGCAAGCAAATGAAGGCAAATTAAATGCCATTCGGGTTGTTTGATTTTCAAGCTACTTCCTACCGGGTTACATACCACACAAATCAGGAGGGCATCGGAAGTGGGAGGGCAGACAATCCTTGTCCGGAATCAAGTCCCCACTACCTAGTACGAGAAAAGCTTCTTCAAGTGTGGAGAAATAACTTTGAAATGAAACTTGCTTTTTATTTTTTTGAGTGCTAATAACAATTTCATTCGCATTTCTTACCAAAAAATGGCTATCTGCTAGTAATTTGAAGAAAAAGGAAGAGAGAGAATGCAAATGTGTCTTTTAAGAAAAAAAATTAATATTTTTAACAAGCTTTAATACAATGGTATCATTTACACATCATTAGACTCGATTGTACTACATATTAATTAAGAGAAATATCAACAATCAGTAGTATTTTGTAACAAAGTTGGTAACAAGTTTAAGAAGAAAGAAACAATATTAGAGTGTCAAAGATTCGTAACTCAGCTAATTAAGAATATTTTTATAAGAATTTTAACGAAAAGCTTATGGTATTGTTTATTTTAACGAAAAATCATATTTTTACACTAAAAAATCAATCATGGTACTATTTACTTTATTCTTTATTTTATTAATTTTTTTAAAATTTAAAATTTTAAACTCTTTTCATTAATTTTTTCTATTTTTATTCCCGACTTTTGAATTAGTTTTTTTCACTCGTCTTTATTAATTGTGCAGTAAAAGTAAGACAGACAAAACTCGAGATCTTGAACATATAAAAAAGGTTCGATCGAAAAAATAAAAAAAAAGGAGTACGAATCCGAGTGAGAAGAAACACACACTCTGACACCCACGACAAAACACAAAATTCCTTCCTTTCTTCCAAATTTCCAATTCCATTTTACATTTTACATTTTACAAATTTACCGCACAAAATCTAAAACCCTTTTCCCTTTCGGATTTTCTTTCATCCAAAGCTTCACTCCACACCACCAGATTCGTTGATACCCCTCCGTCTGCTTTCTGTTTGTTTCCCGAGAAAGTTTTTCCATGTTCAATTTTATATTGTTCAGATTTGGATTAACTAATGGCCCCTGCTTCCGAGGTTCGTTGACTTAACTTACGATTTTTTCAATCTTTGATCTTTGATTATCTGGTGGTACAATAGTTCAGATCATTTGATTCGAAATTTGACATCTTTTTTTATTATTGATTCATTGTTTTAGCTCAAATGGGTTGTCTTTGTTTTCTTGGTTAATTGAATTATGATTGTTGATTGTTGATTTTTGAGTAGGAAAATCATGGAGTTGAAATTGGATTTGGAATGTGATGTTTGATTGGGGAAAGTGGAATTCTTGTTGTGTGCTTGATGAGCCAAGATGCTGTTCAAATCTAAGATAAAATGGGTTGCTCTCTTTGTCCTCATTTTATCTTTTGCATCATTGCTTCGGCACATCTCTATAGCAAGATTTTCGACTGTCGATTTAGTCCAGTATAGCGCATTGACCGCATTCCATAACGATTTCGATTCTATCTCTGGGAGGCAGGTGGGATTTTGATTCATTTCTCTGTCCATTATACATGTATTTCGAGTGTATGTTCTTGGTTGTCTTGATGGCTTCTTTTGTTTTTTACAATCATGCAGAGTGTTCCTAATAGGAAGCTATGGGGGCCTGTGAAGACCCTACAGTCTTTTCAGCCTTATGCCAACCCCCGAGGCAACTATCCTGGTGATGATCTTGCCTTTTTCTTGCATTTGTGAATTTTCTTAGTTTGTTCGTTTCTGGGTTTATCATATTCTTGCATGATATAGTTTATGAATTTGACAATTTGAACCCATTGGTGAATCCGTTCCCTCGCATGCATGACCAAACACATTTTGTAGTCTCGAAGCTAATGGTAACTGTTATCTTTGTTATACTGAATTTGAATTGAGTTCCCTCAGTCTATGTTCTTTTTTGTCACTGGAGTATTTGATAACCTTGAACCATTCATATTTTAGTTGATTGAATACTTTTATCTTTTTTACAGTTCCAAATGAACAGAGCAATGGCTTCATTTATGCGAAAATATTTGGTGGATTTGGAAAGATAAGATCTACGGTACGATTTGTCAAATATGTGAAAGTGATTCCGTGATAAATTGTATGTGGTGTTCATAAATCTTTGTTAATTTTCTAGATCTGTGATCTGGTCACCATATCCAGGCTTCTAAATGCTACTCTTGTCATTCCAGACATTCAAGAAAGTACTCGCTCAAAAGGCATCAGGTTCTTTTCTAGTTTGCTACTTCTTTTATGCCAGTTTGCTGCGATCATATGATTCATTGCTTCTTATCTCTTTTGTTTTTATGACTTTGCCAGCTCTCGTTTCAAGAGTTTTACATATCTCTACGATGAGGTGCACTTTATAGCATCTCTAAAAAATGACATAGTCATTGTGAAGAGTCTGCCAGATAATCTGAAGGCAGCAAGGAAAAGAAATGAATTCCCTTCTTTTAGACCCAAGAATTCAGCTTCTCCAAATTTTTATATCAAAGAAGTCCTACCAAAGTTAAAGAAAACCAAAGTTATCGGCTTCATCATTGCTGATGGTGGATGTCTGCAGGTAGCTGATTTTCTACTAGTTTAACAGTATAGCCTATTTCAAAATGTCATCTGCTTGAAAAAATATGCATATTCTGTTAACATTTATAACCACATATTGTCATACTCTTTTTTGCGCTAGAACCGTCACCTATGAACCATTGTTTATGAAAATAAATAAATGTTATCTAAGAACCACTTAAACATTCATTCTCTGTCGCTTTCCTATTGGTTCATAGGGATCATTCATTCATATATGATTATTTCAGTAGTGAGTCTGTTTTGTTTCTTTTCACTTAGTGATTTTTGTGTTCCAAGCATGCATGCTTGACAATTAAGTTTAAGTGTTGATGCAATATAATCGTATTTTCAGTCAATCCTTCCACCAAACATGGCCGAGTTTCAAAGACTTAGATGCAGGGTTGCCTTCCATGCACTTCAATTCAGGCCAGAAATTCAAATGCTTGGACACAAGATGGTGGAGAGGTATGAATCTAGCAACGCACCATTTTTCCTGAAGATTTGAATCAATAGAGCGATATTGGTGTTTAGAGAACTTGATTAGTACAGACTACTCTTAGACCATCTGATGCAAGATGTTTTTAATTAAATAGATTTTATTTGAAGGTTACGGTTGAGTTGGAAAGATTAGGCAATAGATAGAGTTAACCAGAAGGATCGAGTCAACAGGAGGGGTCGAGTTATGGAGTATGGAAATTTTATCTTTGAAAGTCTTAGGTCTGGCTTTCTACAAATTGGATAGAAGTTTGTATAAGGAAAATGGAAACTATAAGCCTAATGTATATGCCTAGGTTTTCCAAGCAGTCAAAGTGAACACATCCTCTTAAAGAGCTTCAACGGCCACGTGAAGTTTCCTATAATATCCGCTAGTGTGGTCATATTCTTCTGGGAAGGGGTGAGGTTTTGGTTTTTGCTTAGGGATTCCATCTCATCAGAGTTTAGGGATTATTACTTTCGTATATATTACTAGATTAGAAGGCAGTTATGTGATTATTTTGTATCACAGCTTTTATTTATGTAGCTTCTGTAGATGATGGATCTTTATTGGTTTCCTTATCTTGTTTTTTTGAGAAGAAATGATAGCACTTTAAACAAAAACAAGAATTAAAAAATAGTGCATAAGAAATCCACCATGTAGCAAAGCTAGCTAAGACCTCTCAAATAGATCTGATTACAAGTAACATAACCTCAACCAAAATCATTTTACCTGGCTTCTGGTGGACCCTGTTCACTTCTTCTAATAATTTACTTCTAATAACTATTTTCCTTCAGTTGATCAATGTGGCTTTTATACTCCAATAGGTTACGTGCATGGGGTCAACCTTTCCTAGCGTATCATCCTGGTTTAGTGAGAGAAACCTTGGCATATCATGGCTGTGCTGAACTTTTTCAGGTAAGATGTTTAAGCTGGTTTTATCTTTGGTAGTTGTGAAAATATCAATTGTTGATCTACATGCTTAGAGTTTATGATGGTATTAGAGTAATAGAACCTAATTTTGAACCACCTCCAATTACGAAATTCCAATATTAAGTTGAGTTCCACATGTTGGTCCTTAGTGATGGAAAGAGGTTCACATGTGAAGGGTGTTACAACTTAACATAATTCTGTCCAACACATACACACAGCTTAAACTTTCGGGTTACAATATTTTTCATATCTATAGCTGTTAAGTCTAAGTTAGTGTTAAAACGATTGTTCTCCTTTGTTCCTTGGTTAAATCTAAGTCTGATAAAAATTCAGTTTTGGAGTTCTCTTCCTCCTCTTGAGTACGGGTGGTTTCTACCTTAAACAACTGCAAAATATTAACAGTGTGTCCATTCACTTTCATGGTTATCAAAGTTATCTTGTTAACTTGCTACTTTTCTGTAGGATGTTCACACTGAACTCATACAATATCGAAGGAAACAAATGATTAAAAAGGGCATTGTTCATGAGGAACTAAGCATAGATTCACACTTGCGTAGAGAAAATGGTTCATGCCCGCTGATGCCTGAAGAGGTAAGCTCAGTGCTAATTTCAGATCCAGCTTATGTATTTGTAAATTGTCAGTACTGTTGTGTGGCTTCTAGTCCACTCTGATGCTTCTTTCTCGTGGTCCATTTTTTACTGTTTTTGAAAATTTCACTTTTCAGTGCCATAAGAATGTCTAGAAGATTAGTAGTGAATTTAAGTGCTGGTTGTGAAATTAAGTTTCCTTGGCACTCACTCAACGCTGAATTGATTTGAGCAGTTCAGAAAAAGCAGAACCTCAAGCATCCTTCTTTCAATTTCACTTTTAAATATTAAATATTTACATTACAATGGGAGTGGAATTTGTGTTTCCAAAAATTTAAGCTCAAGTGATAGGTTTAAGAAATCGAGGATGCAGACCAAAAAAAACAGTAGAGGATGGAATGACACTGAGAATTTAATTAATCCAACACCATCTAATTCATTAAAGCAACTTTCGTATTTTAATTACTTGAAATTTTTTATTTCAAAATAGACAACGAATAAGTAAGGACTGATCCTTTGTAAAGGTATCCACTCAAAATAAGGATATGTGTCACTGTGATTTCTACATTACCTCGTTGATTGGCCTTGACCAAAAGCATAAGATAAGGGAGGGGAGGGAGTAGAAAGAAAGACCCTGGGCTTGAAAACCTTGTATATTATCTCAAGCTTGAGTCCTTATTCCGGGGCTTGACTCAAGCATGTTAATACGTTTGTGAACAAGCTTGTTACTAAGAACCATGGTATAAATTTGATCTTTTACTTATTGCGTCATTTTACAATGTAAAATTTCAGTTTTGGTGGTGCATTGATGTATGGGGTCATTGATGCTAATTAATAAATCAATCTATCTACATTTTCGTGGTTCATTAGCTCATTTATTCTTCTTGAGACTTTCACAGGTTGGAATTCTTCTTCGTTCAATGGGGTATCCTCCTAAAACAATTATATACCTGGCTGGTTCAGAAACATTTGGGGGTCAACGTGTTCTGGTCCCTTTGCGTGCTATGTTTCCCAACTTAGTGGATCGCACTTCCTTGTGCAGCAATAAAGAATTGTCTGATATACTTGGACCTGAAACACCTCTTCTGCAAAATCCATTTCAACCACCTCCAGCAAAAAGCGAGGAACAACTTAAAGAAGAATGGAAGAAGGCTGGTCCTAGGCCTCGGCCTCTTCCTCCACCTCCCGGTAGACCTATCTATCAACATGAAAAAGAAGGCTGGTATGGTTGGATTACTGAGACTGACATTGAACCAGACCTTTCTGCTTTGGATCTGAGAATGCAAGCACATAGACTAATTTGGGATGCTCTTGATTATATTGTCTCTGTGGAAGCAGACACATTCTTTCCTGGTTTTAACAATGATGGCAGTGGATGGCCAGATTTTTCAAGCTTGGTCATGGGACACCGTTTGTATGAGGTTGCTTCTTCTAGAACATACCGACCAGACAGGCAAGAGAAAAACAAAAAGAATCTAATTCAACTTTTTATATATGATTGGTGATCTTGTTTAACTTTGTGTGTCCTCTTTTCGAACAGGAAAGTTGTAGCACAACTGTTCAACATGACGAGGGACAATGTCTACCATCCCAAGCATAATTGGACACTCTCAGTGCAGGAACATCTTAAGAAAAGCTTAAGTGAGGAAGGCCTAATAAGGCAATCCGTTGTGTCGAAGCCAGCCTTGTTCATTTCACACCCACTCCCCGAATGCTCTTGTAGAATGTCTTCTGCCGATGCTCCAGTTCATGTAAAAGGTCATGATGGCCGAACTGTATATGGAGGCGAAGAAGAGTGCCCGAAGTGGATGAAGCATGGTCAAGAAGTTCCTTTGGATTCAGCTGGGGAAGATGGTAAAGTGGAGGACAATGAATTTTCAGAGTACGGAAGTACTTTGGACGAACAACCAGAATCAAATGACAGTGACAGAACTAATGCTACTCTCTACTCTGATCAGGATGAGGAAATGGACCCGAATGACTAAAGTTGGATCTACAAACGATCCAGTTCCTATCTTTTTACTATAACGCGGCATTCAGTTTCCATCGTTTTCTACTAAAATGGAAAGTTTTTGAGGTAGAGATGACATTAACTTCACACAAGACGAGGATCGAGGACAAATCGATGCGCACGCTTGGAGTAAGCCAATCAGAGTTTGTACACCGTTTTACTGATATGTAAGGTTTTTATTCATAGAGAAAGTATTACTTGTTAGATAAGCCACATGTAATTTTCTTGTAGAGAACAAATGACGAGTACACGAAATGATTCATTGCGGTCTCTCAGATAAGTTTTTGTGGATACATTTCATTTCGAAAGCAGTTCGCTTTCCGTTTCTGAATCATGCACTTGCTCATTTGTTGGCCAGAATTCGAGCAAAAATATAGCGGATCAAAACACATGTAGCTCACACTGCCTCCTATTTGTTCAAATTTTGAACTGCAATGTTACGTAGGAGAGGCTCCTCTCCGGTGCACAGAGATAGAAATCTAGTAGCCTCAACAGCTCCAAATCTAAAGCTAGTTAGATCTAACAGAAGGAAATTCAGGCGGCAGCTGCATGCTTTCTCAGAAGAAAACAAGACTTGAATACAGAGAAAATATCACGTACATACTACTGTAATTTGTAGTTCATATAAAAAGTTACACAGCCTCTTTGTTTACGTGCAAAACAAAATTTCAAAGTAATTTACATCCTACCGAAACCTCCCATCATAGTCCTGTAAGTTGATACACATACCAACCCACTCCAGCTTACTGGGTTTCCTCTGGAGTGCATATTCCGCTGCCCCAACACCCACCGAAATGTGAGAGGTTTACACAAAACATCAGTTTACACATGGATCACTTCTAAATTGCACAACACAAGAAAACCACACTAACATATTACGTTTATTCGTTACCAGGAACACCTTTATTCATGTAGTATTAAACACAAAGTATGGACCATAGTATGGAGAGGTGAAATGCGCTACCAAAGATTGCTATGCTGCTGCTTCTGTGGGCTTCTCAGCAACAGTGAGGCTTGCACTTTCGGCTTCTGTTATCTGCCTCATGATGTCTGACTTTTTCTCAAGTAGGCCTTCTATTTTGACATTGATCTTCTCTAGCTTCTGTTTCAGCGTTCCAACATCACTGCCTTTGTCCTTTTTATCGACTTTCCTTTTCTTCTCGCCCTTCTCCCCCTTCTCCCCCTTCACCTTTTTCTCTTTATCTTTCTTCTCTTTACCCTCCTTTCCTTCATCTTTCTGCGTCTCCTCCTCTACTTCACCCTTTGATTCCTTTACATTTTCTTCAGTGTCAATCTCCCTGGAAGTAACTTCAGCCTTGACCTCCTCCTCATCCTCTTCATTTTTGTGTTTCTTCTTTTTGTCCTCCTTGTCTTTCTCTTCTTCCCTTCTTTTTTGTCATCTTTTTGCTCATCGCTCTTCTTCTCTTTTCATCATCACCGTCCTTGTGTTTCTTCTTTTTATCGTCCTTGTCTTTCTTCTTCTCCCCTTCTTTTTTATTGCCGTCACCTTTTACCTCATCACTCTTCTCTTTTTTGCCGTCACCACCCTTGTGTTTCTTCTTTTTATCGTCCTTGTCTTTCTTCTTCTCGCCTTCCTTTTTATCATTCTTTTTATCGCCCTTGTCTTTCTTCTTCTCCCCTTCCTTTTTATCATCGTCACCCTTTACCTCATCACTCTTCTTCTCTTTTTCATCATCACCACCCTTGTGTTTCTTCTTTTTATCGTCCTTTCCTCCATCTTTATGCGTCTCCTCCTCTACTTCCCCCTTAGATTCCTTTACATTTTCTTCAATGTCGATCTCCCTGGAAGTAACTTCAGCCTTGACTTCCTCCTCATCCTCTTCATTTTTGTGTTTCTTCTTTTTGTCCTCCTTGTCTTTCTTCTTCTTCCCTTCTTTTTTGTTATCGTTTTGCTCATCGCTCTTCTTCTCTTTTTCATCATCACCGTCCTTGTGTTTCTTCATTTTATCGTCCCTTCTCTCCTTTTTTATTGTCGTCACCTTTTACCTCATCGCTCTTCTTCTCTTTTTCATCATCACCACCCTTGTGTTTCTTCTTTTTATCATCCTTGTGTTTCTTCTTCTCCCCTTCTTTTTTATCGTAGTCACCTTTTACCTCGTCGCTCTTCTTCTCTTTTTCATCATCGCCCTTGTGTTTCTTCTTTTTCTCATCCTCGTCTTTCTTCTTCTTTCCTTCTTTCTTATCCTCACCGTCGTTTTCCTCATCCTTGTCTTTCTTCTCCTTCTTCTTCCCTTCTTTTTCATCATCCACCTTTTCCCCTTCCTCTAAATCTTTACCCTTGTCCTTTTTATCTTTCTTCTTTTTCTCTTTTTCTCCCCCTTCTATATCATCTTTATTTTCGTTCTTCCCCTTGTTCTTTTTCTTCTTCTCTTCCTTGTCCTTCTTTTTATCTTCTTCACTCTCTCCCGCTTCAGTGTCCTTCTCGTTCTTCTTTTCCTTCTTCGTTATGTCTTTATCCTTCTTCTTCGATTTCTCCTCATCTGCATCCTTATGTTTATCCTCATCCTTTTCATGTTTCGACTTTTCTTTTACCACTGACTTGGTCTTTAATTCAAGTTCCGCTTCAGTCTTCTCTTCCTTCAGGTTGCCTGGTTCTACATCCTTGGTCTTCATCACCATAAACCGTTCTTCCTTTTGAACCCTTTCAATTTCTTCCCCTTTATATTCAGTTTTGTCTTCCATCTCCAGACTATTTGCCAAAACTCAAAACGCAAAACACTTTCCTCCGAACCTGAGATTCCTAAAACAAATGAACGGTGCGATCAGTAATCTGGAAACAAATTCAGTGGGTTAAAAAAGAAAAAAAAGAAAAGCTAAACTTAAGGGAAAACCTATCACTTTCATCCAACAGAGAGATTTCCACAGAAACAGTCAGGATTCTCAAGACACGAACACGATTCCGTTGTAAGGGAAAGCATATCAAATCGATTTCTCAAGGGTGATTTGACCACAATTCGATAACGTTTTTCTCCAAATTCCCACAAAGTAATGAAATTGATACAATTGAACGCAAATGAGTAAATCAAGCAGTACACAAACCAACATAATAATATCAAATACAAGCAACAAGAAAGAATCACAATTTCATAACACGCATTCACGATCGATCACAAAAACTACATCTTTACTAATCCGTAACTGGAATTGATTGGAGTAACGAATCGTCAGTACCTAAAGGAAGCTCTGGTCTGACAGCCGCCTTCTTCAGCAACGTAAGGTGTTTCTTGAGAGAGAAAGTGAGAGAGAGAGTGTTAGCTTCGATTCGAGTCGATGTGCAAATTGATCGATATATAAATATAATTGGATATACGGAAAGCTGTTGGGCATTGGATTTAGTGTGCCACGGGCAGCCACCTGTCGGTATTTTCGTCGACACGCAAAGGACCGACACCTTCTTGATTCTTCTGCGTAGCGTGCGTACCCAATACGCGGCGTTTTGTTTTGTGTGTTTTCTCCGAAACTCCAACGTCGACTACTTGGATCAGAAAATTTACTTAGCTCTTAAGTCTTCTTCCAAGACTTGAACCCCTCAACCCTCCCTACCTTCCGGTCACTTTCACATCGCAACCTCCCTCCTTGTTTCAATAGTATTTTGTGGTCTATATTTTTAGGGTGCCAAACTTTTAATCAATTTTGTACTTTCCTTCATGCCCTTCATTAAGAGAATATTTTTTGAATCACAGGCGTGTTATGTGCGATTTACACGTTTTAAATGTATTTATATACGTAAATGGACAAAAGGAAAGTCAAATATTTAAAGTAAATAAATAATCTTCGATCATGCTAGAAGAAACCCCTCGTAAACCAATCAAAACAGTTGAATTTACGTAATAAAATCTATCTCTATAGAATTTACATTAAGAATAGAAAAAATAATATTTAATAAACAACTGATTGAATCATATTATTGCTATCTCAATGAGGCTAAGCTCACCCCACTCCCACTTAGTGTAGATAATATCGTTTGTTCAAAAAAAAAAAAAACAATAATTTGACAACTAATTTAATCACATTATTATGCATGTGCTAAAAACCTTTTTTATAACCGGTATTACATGACTTTTAAGATGTTCTGAACGTGTTTAAAAATAAAAAAAATAATATTTAACGAACAACTTGTGAATCACATTATTGCTAGCCTATTGTAAGGTACTAATTATAAAAAATAAAAAAAATACTGTACAAAAAAAATAATTATTAAAAAAATACTTTTAAAATGATGAAAATACCCCTGCCACATTTGATGCATTATTTTAGGCTGCTTTTGAAGTTTTTTGTTTGATAGGCATTTATGTCCACTTATTTTTTGGTGAAGTTTGTGACCTCAAAAGGAGTTGTTGGTTTTATATATAAAGATAAGCGAATTAAAAACAAAATAAAATTATAGATTTTAGATGCTGATCGAGTGAACTTCTTTCACCGTTCAATATTATTTATTGAACAACCATGATTGAATTTTTTTTTTCTCTACATAAATATAGTCCAAGATTTTGAGGTTGAATGCACAAGGATGGGTGCAATTGGACTGAACCTTAGTCAATGATTCATATCTTTTTTATCAAGAATTTTTGACATTCATTTTGAACTTGTGAGTTTCGATGATGTATAATAAAGTTACAAGTTAAGTTATCGAAAATAAATCAAATTGGGTTTGATAAGGAACAATTTAAATGTTTATAGGTGTACTAATAGATTTTTAACCTTCTAAAAAAAACTATCAAAGAAGAAACTAAATAATGTGAATTTAGAAAACAATTGAGCGTCATTAAAGGCACCTTAGTTTAATATACAAGTACTCGTGGAACCTCGTAGGTCCACCGCCATGACCGACATAACACATGCTACATAGTTTTTCAATGGTTGTCATGTAATGTAAGCAGAGAAAAACAGCCGAAATCAATGGGCCACTTTCGTCGTTTAAAAATAGAAAGTGCAACTTCTTTCTCTTTCAAATTTTCTAGGTTGAGGTGATTTCATACTAATAATATTTTAAGTGATAAATTTTAAGTTTGATTTTTGTAAAAATTAAATTTATATAATATTATTATTAGTTTATTATGAGATTTAGCCTACTTTCTTTACGAAGATTGATAATATCATTTGTGGAAAATTCCCACCTTGAGTAACAAATCAATAATGGTTTAAAAATAAAAAAGTAACAAACGAATTTCAAAACTGAAAACAAAGTGAGAAACTTAAAACAGAAAAGAAAATCACATTCCGTCTCTCTGATCTCTCTCTCTCTCCCCCCCTCTGCCGCAACATCTCCAGCGCAAAAAGCAAAGTCTTTCTTTCTTTCTTTCCCTTTCATTTTGTTTCGCTCTCCCTCTCCTCTAGAAACCCTAACAGTGGCCTGGTTTTTTTAATTAACCAGGTCCCTCACGGGGGAAAAGCCTTCAATTTTTTTTCCTTAAATTTTTAGTTTTTGTTAAATTACTTCGCAAGCTGTAGTTTTTCTTTGTTGCATTTGTCAGCTGCCCTCGACAATGAACGACCTGCTAACGGTAATGTATTTGATTTTCTTTCATTAATTTATGCCATGGTTTGTTTGTTTGGGCATGTTTGGAGTTTTTGATGCTCTGTTTTTGTCATGATCCGGCTGCGTTTGATGTTATTGGATCTGCTTTTTTAATGAGTTTTTTGAATTTTTGGCTTATGGGGTGTTGGTTCTCTTTACTTTCCGTTTGGTTAGTGAGAAAAAGGAGGGAAATTGATGGAAAAATTGAAAGTTTTTGAATCATGGGATTTTGCATTGTGCTTGAGGGAATGGGAGTGGTTGGTTTTACTTCATTGTATCTCAATCCACACGAGCTACTGCAGCTTTCGAACAGTTTGGTGTTACCCTAAACTGAGAAAATTGAACAATTTGGTTTCTTTTCCTTTTATTTTCCTTTGTTGTTTTTGGTTTCTCAGCTTTTGAACAGAGTTCATCGGCATTGGTGTTTGAATCGCTTAAGATCTTTATAAACGAAACTTGTTTTAATTTGTGGAAAGTACTTCCCTTTTTCTCCTTTTTGGAATTGAAATGATTAACGATAAGGACAATGATGGAAGTTGCAACGCAAGTATTGTGCTTTTACATAATGCAGAACTGCGGAATAACACTTGACATATGCACAAGCCATTTAATCTGCGATTGAGACTTGGTTTTTCTTTCTATGTATGGTGTTTGCTTGTCTGTACTAATTATATACCAAAATGTGTTCTTAGAAATTTAGTAGTGTCATGTCATTACGTAAGTTCAAGTCATAGTTATCGTGCCTTTTCTTTCCCTTTATCTTTCTTTCCTAAACCCCATTGAACTCAAGCAATCAGATTTGGGATTAAGGTTTTGTTCAAGTACATTTATGACCTAATTACTGCTTGCAGGATTCTTTTGAGATCCCTCGGGGTCAAGCTTCAAGAGATGGGGATATTGAACTAGGAGCACATGCTTCAATGAATTCTGGAGAACTTGGTTTGGAGAATTTCTTCAAAAAGGTGCTTTAACTTCCTTGACTTACTTTTCTTTAGTATCCCTTAAATGCATGAAACGCAATTATTTCTTTTTCTGTTACTTTTTCCATAGATAATTATTCTGTATATGGAGTATGTGTTATGTTTACTTTCTGTTGATTCTGTCTAATGCTTTCATGATTTTTTTTTATCTCCAGGTTCAAGAGATCGAGAAGCAAAATGAGAAGCTTGATAAGCTTTTGAAAAAGCTCCAGGTATTATGCTTTCCAATATGTTTTCCTTACCTTGCCAGCACCGTGAAGGTTTTTTTGTTAGCCTCAGCTGTCATAGTTCCTAATTGGTTGGGCTCGCTTGTCCAAAATGTATAGACTTACTACTCTTAACTTGGTCTCATTTCATGTTGCGCTGATGAAATCAGCCGTTAAACTTAATTGAGAGTGAATTTACTTATCCACGAAGCTCAAAGATTTGAGTCCTTCCGTTTTGGTTTGATAATGTTGTCGTCTTTGTAATTGTATGCATGATGCCAATATGTGGTGATATCATTAACGGATTTCTAGTTACATATTGTTTTCATCAAATTGGGAATTTAGTGATAAGGTTATGAACAAGTATAACTGTAACTAAACCGAACATATAAACGTCATGCTGCAGTGTAGGTAATGTAGAATTGTATAGCAACTGGACTGAGTATTGTTTATTTGCAAAATAATGCATCATCCAGATTGGTAAATTTACTGTGTTTGTACCCACTAATTTAAATATTGTGAAACTGTTATTTTGGAAAATTCCTGTGTTTACATTTTTGTGCCTTATACAATAGCTTAAAAAATTAGACAGCATTATAGTTGTAATGATTCTTTGAGATATAAAAAATTAAAAATTAAATGCACTTTTTTTTATCACTTTTAATGGCTTTTGTCTGCAGGGTGCACATGAGGAGTCCAAGGCTATTACTAAGGCTCCTTCAATGAAATGTAATCTCAACTTGTTTAATTAATTCGATAATCATGTGAATCTTTCATGCTTATATTCGTATTTTTCTATTATGTTATGTATGCTTGTTCCTTTCATAGTTCTATAATGATGTCTCTGGATTAAAATGAAGGGAGGAAACAATATGCATACAGGAGAGGAGATGTCAGAAATTATTCTAGCTTGTTTTCTCATAATTGTTGAAAAATAACGCCTGTAATCAGTTTCCCTCTGCTGGTGTTCTCTCTTCTGTTTGCATCCATCAACTTATTTTTTCCTTCCTCGTTAACCCAACAGAGATGATGGATCCTTTCACTATGTGCAGCAATCAAGCAACGGATGGAAAAAGATGTCGATGAAGTTGGAAAAGTTGCTCGTTGGATAAAGTCAAAAATTGAAGAACTGGACAAAGAGGTGAAACCTGACTCAACAGAAAGCTTGCTTTTATTTCTGTGGTTCACTGTAACTTTACTTGTCGGACTAACCTTTCTTTCTGGGTCCAGAATTTAGCAAATAGACAGAAGGCTGGTTGTGGAAAAGGAACAGGTGTAGATAGATCCCGAACAGCAACAACCCTGTACGTTCGTACTTCAACAATTGCCTTTGAAATGCCTTTTGCCTATTTCCCCTCATTTCCTTTTGGCATCTACTAAGTTGTGGGATCACCAATGATTTTCCCTCGCACATGCTTGTTTGAGAAATCTTTTTATTAATCTGTCAACTCAACTGAATCCAACATTGTCAAGTGTCCACTGTTATCTATTGTTGTAGTGCCTTGAAAAAGAAATTAAAGGACAAGATGGCTGAATTTCAGGTAGGCCACACACACTCACACATTCATTTTGTTTTAATGTCTGTTTCTTTATTTCTTTCATCACTAAATTTTTTAAATTCCAAAATATGCAGACTCTAAGGGAAACCATCCATCAAGAGTATCGTGATGTTGTCGAGAGGCGAGTTTTTACAGGTTTGAACCCCTCACTTGCCACTCATGAATCGCTGCTATTTTTAGAACCTCTACTTGATTTTCC